ATCATACCACTCCAACAGAAAATGAAATCAGCTGATGCGCTACCGAGCAGACGCAGGCGGTGGTGCAGACCACCTCGAACAGAGGTAACAAATATTACGGCGTTGCCGCGTTTCCAGTTTTTAGGTAAACGTACTTTATAGGTATTGTTCGAAGACGTAGCCAAGCAGCGGTGCAGGCTTTGAGAATGGAGTCCCTCCCCCGAATGAAAGCACCAGCTTGTTCAATTCTGAGACGAAGTTCGTCAACCGTATGCACTTCAGTTTTGTACACTAAGCGTTTCATTTCTCCCCAAAGAAAAAAATCACATGGTGTTAAGTCTGGAGATCGCGGAGGCCTCGCTACGGGTCCATTACGTCCGATCCACCTATTCGGAAATAATTCATTCAAAAACTCACGCACTTCGCGTCTAAAATAGGGCGGTGCACCATCGTGCAGAAACCAAATTGTTTGTCTTACACTTAATGGCACATCTTCTAACAAGGAAGGCAAAATGTTGCGTAAAAAGTCTAGGTATTGCATCCCGTCCAATCGATTTGGGAGAATAAATGGTCCAATGAGCATACCGTTCACCTTGCCAGCCCAAACATTCACCGAAAATGTTTGTTGAAAATGTGCCCGATGGACAGCGTGCGGATTTTCTACTGACCAAACATGAGTGTTGCGAAAGTCTGTCACCAATATGCACTTCAAAAAGTCCGGATTATTGTCATGTTGATGCAACAACCACTCACAAAACCGCACTCTTGTTGGAAAATCGTCAGGTTGAAGGGCTTGTACACGTTGGACGTGAAACGGATACAGCCCCTCTTCACGCTGCGTTTGCCACGCTTTAGTTTTTGATACTTGCACTTCTCTAGCCACGTCTCTAGTGCTTCTTGAGGGATTCTCGTCTACGCGATTCAGTAGTTCTTCCTCAACTTGCACCATTCATGGTTGTCTAGGCCTCCCACTGTGCCCACCTCGAAATTCCTCCAAATGGCCCGTATCCCTGACTCTCTGGACCAGGTACACAAATCTGCGGGGCCTTGGATGATGTCGTCTAGGGAAACAATCTGCATACACTCGCGAAGCCTCTGTAGTATTTTGAAGACATTCGCCATAAATTAACAACATATCAACGAGTTCATTATTGGTGTATTAGTGTGCCATTATTATTTTTTTTTGAAACGCAATCGATTATACGGCTTCGTTTACCTCTACACGCGTGACCGTAACCGTCGGTTGAAGGTTGCATACTGACCTGACACACTGACCCCGATGCAGTTCTGTCGTCGGGTTGAGCCAGTGACCTTGTACCACTCGGTGATGTCGCGGCTACAGGACGGTAGTCAGATATGTTGCAGAGCCCTTTATCTCGGTTCCCTTAAGACATTGGTGTATATGGTACTAAGAAAAATTGCTTATGTTTTCAAGATCTACACGTCGTGTAAAGGAAAACCCCAACTTTGCGGACAATCCTGTATATGAGTCGGTTGGTGGCACGATTCTTCGTTTGGGTTCTGTGATTTTTTTCTGTTTTGAGGAATCAACCCTTTTATGTCTCGATTCACCCTGTAGTCCCCTGATTTTACGCACAGCGATGCCATACTCCTATGAAGTCTATAGGACATATATGAGTTTATTGGCGGCACAATTCTTCGTTTGAGTTCTGCGATTTTTTTCTGTTTCAAGGGGTCAATCCTTGTATGCGCAGAATCACTCTGTAGTCCCCTGATTTTTCGCAAAGCTATGCCATCAGGATGTACTCATATTAGGCATCTACAACATACATGAGTTTGTAGATGGCGCAATTCTCCTGTAGTCCCCTGATTTTTAACATTTATGCCATCAGGCTGTACTCATATGAGGCCTCTACAACATATATATGAGTTTGTAGGTGGTACAATTCTTCGTTTCGGTCCTGTCAATTTTTTTCTCTTTTGAGGAATCAACTCTTGAATGCGCAGAATCACTCTGTAGTCCCGTTTTTTAGCAGCTATGTCATCAGGATGTACTCCTATAAGGCCTCTACAACATATATGAGTCTTTTGGTGGCACAATGCTTCGTTTGGGTTTTGCGATTTTTTCAGTTTTATATGTACTCAAAATACAAATGTGTCGTTTGTCGAAATCACCCTGCTGTATAACCCTTATTTAGTTTAACAGGTATGAGGTATTTACAGGGGTAGTACAATTAGGTCTTATACAGTAGGAGCGTAATGTAAGAAATAATTTTTGGTATTTTTTCTATCAAGTGCCTAGTGTCTGTTCTCGTTTACCCGTTCACTCCTCCACTGGTAATACCGAACTTTGAGAAAAATAATTTGTTTAAAAGCCTTATTTGATAATAAGTAACATAAAACAACCTCCAGGAGCTGAAAATACCAGTTTTCCAGCATATCGGCGATTTGAGCTCACTACTGAACTGGTCGACTGTAATTTCATCATATTCGAATCTGAATCTGAAGCTACCTTCAGGGACGTGCCATTATCTTGCTATTCAGCCCTTGGGTTTCCAAGAAAAAAAAACGTAGTTTTTGCTCTTTTTCCTGTTTTTCTTTTCCAGCTCATATGAAATCGTTCGTTTAGATATACTGAACTGTAATACAGTATGTTTCGAGTATGACACCTGGGATCATCATAGGTAGTATAAACAGCATCACTGGCTGGATGATGCCTGCCCACTTGATAGGTTCGACCTTTAACTTCACCCATATCTCCCAATTTGGACCGGCTGTTCTCGGTACAAAATCCCACATCACAAGTTCGTTTCTGTGTGTGACTATAAATACTTGTTCCCACCAGCCGAGCAACTTTATTGGCTATCATTCTATTGCTGATAAAAAGCCTGAATGATAGACAACCAGTAATTATTCAATACCACCAGGAGTCGAGTAAATTGGGGGTTAAACTATGAGTGGCGTTTAATAAATTACAAGCTGAAAATGTTCTCATCGTTAACATTGGTGAACAAAATTAAAATATTTTTGTGACATGGGCAAAACAAGGTGGTTATTATGTAAAACGTACCCAAAAAGCCGGAAATAGCATTCGATTTTTTCTGTCATCCCCGGTTTTCTTACTAAGTCATTTTATTGTAAACACTCGAATAAACATGAATCTCAGAATGTTGTTGTCGATGTTTTACAGCGATATGATGCTCCTGAAGTATCTCTTAACAATGTCCAGCAATAATCAGAAAGCAAATTGACACTCCATTAGCCTTGATATCGTTTTTCCATAGTAGAAATGTCTTGGTGGAACCGTTCACCATGTTCATCACTTACCGCACCTAGGTATTCCGGACAAAAATCGAGATGAGAATCCAAAAAGAGAATTTTTAGAGATATGTTACATCCCATTCAATTATAAGCATTAATTAGTTCACTCACAATATCTTTAAAATTGTCCGCCTTCACATTGCCTAAAAAATTTGCAGTAACTGATTTAAAAGCATTCCAAGCTCGTAATTCAGTTTCATTTACAGCACTGTAAAATACGCCATCCTTCATGATTTTCCGTATTTGTGGACCCACAAATATGCCCTCTTTAATTTTTGCCTCACTAAGTCTCGGAAATGTTTGTTTTAAATGCAGAAACAGTCTTCCATTTCGATCCATAGCTTTCGAAAAAATTTTCATCAGTCAAAACTTAATATGCAAAGGTGGAAGCAACACGTTTTTGGGATCAACTAGTGATTCATGGGCAATATTTTTGAGGCCCGGAGTTAATACCTGATGTAGTGGCCACTCCTTCTGTCCATGATGACGATCTCGCGCACGACTATCCCATTCACAAAGAAAACAACAATATTTGGTATATCCCAGTCGCATTCAAGAAGGACTATTACCTTTAAATATTTACATATGGCCCATCCATATTCATTATAACGGACAAGCTGTAACAGAACTCGCATATTTTCATATGATTCCTTCATATGAACTGCGTGCGCTATAGGTACAGATGGATATTTATTACCGTTGTGTACCAATACCGCTTTTAAACTAAGCTTAGAGGAATCAATGAACAGAAAAAAGTAATGTTAACATTTCCGTGGAGAAGATTCCATCCTTTTAATCTTGACGCTAAAAGTTCTGACTGGGATTTTGACAGATTTAATTCTAGAACTAAGTCATCAAATGCGGCAGGCCAAAGGAAAGATCGGACATTTTTACGCTTTCTGTACTTTCAGAATCGATGGATTCGACTTTTTCATCCTAAGACCAAGATTCTGGTAGAACTGGGACAGAAAGTTCATCACTATGCTTAACGGGCCGCAAAGCTGATGGTAAATTAAAATACTTAACAGTATGTTTCGATTTTGGCCCAATACCTTTAATATTTGTGAGGCAAAAATAGCAATCAGTAGGATGGTCTCTCGGTTCTCTCCAAACCATTGATACCGCAAAGGGCATTTGACGATTGTCGCCTCTTAACCAACCTGTTAACAAGTTTATCTTGGTCGCCAGCTTTAATTCCAAAATAAAGTTCGTATGCTTTCAACACAAAGGGGAGTAAAAGTACGTTTTAGAGATTTAAAAGTTAGCTCTCCGCACACGTAACAAAAACTGTTCGCACTATTAGAGCTAGTCTCGATCGCAATAAACTAAAAACAACACAACGTTTTAACAAAAATTAACAGTACTCAGAACATCTCAGTACTCTTCAACCCAAAAAACTTATCTTACTCGGCTGCTATTAGTCTATTAATAAACGCAATATGCTCTCTAAACATAGAGCTCTTATATAATAAACAGGAATAGACAGATATTAACATTATATATGTGCGTCATCGCATAAACGACGAGAAATGCAGCAATATGAGATGTAACGTATTCTAATTCATAAAAGTACATGTTACCGAATATCTGTGGGTAATAGAAAAATTCTGTTTTTAGATTTGATTTAAGGGTCTCAAAATATATAAGATACACTCAAAAATTGTCGTGTCGCAAATCCGGTGTTTATCAGTGTAATTGGAGTTGGTAGGTTTTGGAAAATAGAACTTTCAAATGATATAACGCTTTTATTCATGTAAATATAAATACAACTCATACCTAGAAATACAGATTAAATCTATACACAAAATTTTCAATCAGACTTCTCATGAATATAAAACACATAAAATGGGTTAATAAATGCTATGATACATTAGATAGAAAAATTGAGCTAGATCTGAAATTTTAACTAATACTCGCTATATTTACATCGTGTAGTGTAGACTATGTCAATTTTGGTCTTGAATGCAAAAAAATATTTTTTTCTGCACAATATAGCTTTTGACAGTTACAGAGGAAGGCACTGATTTTCCAGGTGCTGTATACAGGCTCTTCCCTAAACACGGAGCAAAAATTCAAAGAATTATTAAGACAAAGCCGCTTTATGAATATACAAGGCCTGAACGCATTTTCGGATATGAAAACAAAGAGGTTTTACGAAATTCATAGACAGAAGAAGGCAAGGAATATATATCCTCAAATGTTGACTCATGTTTAGGAGACACTCTGTATATAAACAGAATTTCGGTTGCATTTTTTCGGGCAGTATTTTATCACAAAATGGCAGTAACAACCTGCATGTTTGCTTAATGCAAAGAAACTATAGCTGTTTGAAGTTGAACCGGAATTTTAATCAACTCGACTGTATACTTTAAGCTTTAAGGAAATCAGAATCCGCTTTCTGCTAATTTTGACATTACTAAATCAAAATTATAGCATTGAGCCAGTCAAAATTCGAGTTCGCACTTTCCGACCTGAGCAAAGTCATTAAGGACTTGTGATGTATCAAAAACAACGTTTCAATGCAGAGTAAGCAACATAAACTGTATTGAATCGACTATTGTAGCGAGGCCAACCAGAATTTACACGGAAATGCAGTTAAATGGGTTAGGATTCAGTTCACATGTGATAGGGGATTCATTTAGAGGTACTCTTCCCAATAGCGCCATAAAGGTTGGCTCTGACAATGTCATCAGTTCATAAGAGGTTATGCTCGGCCAAGTTAGCCTCTCTTAGAGGAAAGCCAACTAGGAATATGTGAATCAAAAAAATTGCATGGATCAAATCAGTAAAATAGGCCCATATAGTTAGTTATCAGTCTCCACCCATTAGACAATGTAGCGATCTAGAAATGTTTGTGACCTAGCAACCATCCTATAACGTCCGATCACAGTGATTACCTTGCTGAGTATATCTTGTAAGCAACCAACTCGAGACAGGTTCAAATACTATTTTCGTTGCGCTCGATGCAGGTATTGAAAATATTTCTATCATTCTTAATCTAGAGGGAAAATCTATGCGTGAAATAACTAATAGGTATGTAGAGTTACTGGGAGTTAGAAGCCAAAAGATTCGATATACTCTCCGTCACCATCCGCGATTTTTTGCACCTCAAAATTTTTTTCAAGAATGTACAGGAACCTCGTAAATGCCGCGCCGTCTTGTTGGAACCAAATGTAAGCGAAGATCATAGACCTGAATTTCAGTCAGAATCTGATGTGTTGTCAAAGCGCGATAACGAATTTCGCATACCACACAATACTTCCCTACAATAAGGATAACCCGATGAAGTTGATTGCATTTAATTTTGTGTTTTGAAAAAAGTACCTTAAAATCACCTGTTACTTGCCACTAAGGTTGTGAGGCTTGTGGTGCATCCCCAATTGCAGGTTTTATGCAGATCCCCATTCCATGTTCTTAATGAACTTAACAGAGAATAAAATCGAAGATAACATGCCTTGCAGTTTTTCTTATGAAAAAATGTTTGGTTGACCTGCTTTTTGCCTTTTGATGTATGTACGTATCCAGAAATTCCGTTAACATATCAAATATCTCAGATAAAGGCCAAATCTGAATTTTCTGGAATCATACCCAAACAACGACTAGAAAAAAGTTATTTGAAATATGAACCATATGCCTGTTTACCCTGTAAGCATACAAAATAATAATGCATTAATGTATGATCTAAACTTACAACTGAAGAACTCAACCAATCCTACAAAACCCTGAAAATGTCAATACGTAAATTAATCGTAAACAAATTACATCGGCACAAAGTGTTTCTTCAGTTTTTTGAACTGTAAAAATATACCCATTTTTCATTGTAGTTACACCTGTCAGATTTAATCCACGTAGCCCCTTATCTCAAGAAATGGTTTTATAGTATGTTATCAATACAAATTTCAGAGTTTTTTAGGCATGACGACTACAGTTCTAAATCTAATATTACTACTGATCAGATATCGTCTTACAGTAATTCAGAAATCGTTCTGGTGTTTCGGAAATATTAAAGAATGTCTACGTGATACGTTATAGCTATTTTCTTCCATATTCCATCGAAAAACAAGAAAAGAATATACTATAAGGACTGATCTTATTCACGGCAGTGTGAACAATACAAAATACAAAATTGATAAGATGAAAAAGGTGCCACTCTGAAGAACACAACATATTAAAACTAAAATTTTGGCTGTTTCGTAGGCTCCGAACCGATGATAGAAATTAGCATGCCTGAACGACAGAAAGCTTCAGCTTCCTAAAATGAATTCTGAGGGCATATTTTCAATCTAAAAAAACCAAACGCCATTAGTTTGCAAAAATGCATAATGATTATATAACTCTACTGCTAAATATTCGAACTTTTTTCCCAATATCATTTTTTCATATTCTTCGTTTACGGAGAGGGAAGGGTTGAATGTCAAATTAGTTCACTTTATCATCACCAGATAGCGTTTTATGCATGTCACTGTTTTTTTAGTTCTTTCGAAAATTTCAAATACAACGGTGTACTTTTTTACGTAATATTGCTCGGAAGGAGCATAAAAAATCCTATAAAATGGCGAAACCTGCATATCTTATCGTTATGGCGAGATATGATGAAAAATATGTTTAAATTACAATTTCCAGATACAACTGGGTAAAGAGAGTAATTCAAACTATGAATAGTTATGTTAAATGAATCAATATGATACGATTTCAAGATATTTTACTTGGAAATTTATTTTTGCGCTTTGTATACATGATACATATACGTATATGAAAAAAGACGTACTTCAATTATACGTCTTTGAAATATGAAGAATTCAAGAAATACTGTGCTTTTTAACCACTTGTCTTATTTAGACATTTGAAGCGTGCTATGTCATGACATTCTGAGACAGAAACAAACGAATAATCTAAAATAAATTAGTGCAAACGTTAAAACCATCGAGGTCGCGTCGTCGTTCGCAGGTTAGCTTTAAAAATGGTAAAATTTCTTTTGCTTAAAAGATGTGTGCAGTCCTAAAAAGGCCGAGCAGTATTTCCTGAATCACACTTAATTCAAAGCCAACTGAGTTAAAATATGAGGTATGATTGAAGGATGAAATATGGGAAAATGACATTGAGAATAAAGTTCGAAAATTGAGCAATCAACATAATAGATTAAATCACTACGTTAGTTTTACAAAATAATAGAGTTCGAACTTTTGAAATACACAGGCCAAGAAGTTCATAGCAGGCCCAAACAAGCGTCGAATGCTGAAGGTATTGAAAACAAGTATATTATGCTTTTTATATCCATGTTCACGCTACGTCCATCTGAATGGCACCTTGAAACTGCTTGAGAATTGTCACATAGCTACATTCTCTCAACTTCTCACTAGAATAAATATATCGTATAAATATATTTATTATTTTTCGTAAGTTATTTACAATAAACTAATAATGTATGAGATCACTGTTTCTGGGTGTAATCAGTAGCACAGGCGCTAAAATATCTGATGATAAAATTGATATGAAAAAGAGGAATATATGTGAAATATAACTAAAATTGTTCTCTATAAAACCTAGAAACACAACTGAAAACGTATTCGAATGCACAATTTCAATGGTTCAAATAAGTATTTTTTCAAAAAACAGGAGAGTACATTCAAAAGTAACAAAAAAAAAATCCTACAAACATGGACCCTAACATTTTTCCTAACTGAGATACATGTTATAATTCCGACATTGAAAAAGAAGATTGTATCTCCGCGAACAGCATAACACATATGTACATACACAGTTTTCATGATTCAAAGAACAGTGGTATAGAAACTTTGATAGTTGACCCCATTAACTTTCTTGAAACATCTATAGCTTTAATGTAATATCTGAAATTGAGTCCAAATTTAACGAAATTAAGTTAGTGACACCATCTAGTACAAAAAAGGATGTTTCTGATTACTTAAGCACACATATGTTTTTAGTGAACAGCATATTTTTTAAGCTATTATTAACAGTAATTAATAAAAAAGTATTCAAGAAAATTATTAGTTTTGAAATAAATCGTTTTTTTCTGTTTCCTGAAAAGTTTGTATTTTGGACATATGTTGTTTTTGTAAATCAAGCCTCAATTTATCATGTTGTAGTCAAGCTCATAATCCTCCATGTTTGTCAGGCCGCTAAATGAAACTACATACAGTGCGAATCATTTACGGTTGAGGTCTGCCGAGTTTCAATGTGTACGAGAGAGAAGTGTTCAACACTTACGAGGGTTGTTTCAAAAATAAGGTTACCAGCGCTGTAACTTCGTCGCGCGTGATGCTTGGCGGAATCTGGCATCACCAATCCTAACAAGAAGCGCATAATGGCGACTCTCAGTACCGGCCTGACAGCCATGCGCAATGGAGCCCTTCATCGCCGTCGCCGACAGGTGCGAAATTCATGCTGTCATCCGAGTTTTGTACGCAAATAATTTATCACCCACACAAATTTATCGCCAGTTGAGTATATGGGAAACGTGTATAATCATTCAAGCGGGAGACCGTCAATCTCCGAGGAAGTTATGGCGAAGATTGAGGAAATCTTGCTCGAAGATCGGCGTTTCACGATCTGGGAACAGGCGGTTAAAATTCCCGAGGCTTCTGAAAAAGTTGACATGGGCAATCCAAAATTATCGTAGGGGGAAACTCTGCAAAGCGTAAGATTGCACCACGACAATGTGCATCCTCATGTCTCACAACAAACGAAGGGCTGAATCGAGCGATTTGCATCAGTAGCGAAGAAAGTTTTTGTAACATTCCTGATCTTCCCGTTGTAGTTGTTCTAGTAATGAATAAAAAGTTAATTACAATTATTTGGTATTAAAAATTTTCAATAATTTATCAGATAAGGTCAAGTCTGAAACAAATGTGAAGTCTTTCAAAGGAAATTTGAGAAGGTTTCTGATCGATCAATGTTTTTATAATATTGACCACTTTTTCTCTTGCAGGCAATTTGTTTTTATTGTCGTTCCTATATGTTTTTGTAACATGAACAAGAAAATTAAGGATTTGTTTCCATTATATTATTTTCTTTTTTCTTAATCAAATATCTCACCCGACATTTGTGAAGCCTTTCGTATACACTACATGACTAAACAGCAATATATGAATGAAAAGCGGCCGCTTCTTTGCTTCTATACCTTTTTGTTGGCATCTTTAACTCGCAATTATTTGATTATGATCAATAATTTCATGAGATGTTTTTCTCCATTTCGCTCACGTAGGTACTGTGGAAATAGCTGGGCTCATGTGAGAGCAAATATTCCAAGTACCATTACTTTCTTTCTATCTTTGTCGTACACATTGACACCAGGTCGACCTCATCCGTGAATGATAGGTATGGTATGTTTGGCTACCATTGTGGCCAAAACGTCATGTCAGTGTTGAAGTTATGACATTAGCTGACCATACACACGATTTTCGCGCATGAAAAAATTTGAGACAGGCGCTTGTGCGCGTGAAAGAACGACCAGGCGTAAAAATATACGAGTATAATGTTTCCAGATGATTCACGACATTATTACAAAAGAAAACCCGCATACAGTGAAAGTAAAGTATTAGACATTTAGGATTTTTACCTTGCTATTCAGGGATGACCTTGAATTTGATATTTAAATGAATAGATGGGAAAATTAGACGTTTAGACATGGCCCTGCGGGAAGACTAATTTAATCTTGAACGTCCTGGTCAAGGTCAGCGCAATTTCAATTTTTTTTGCTTCTCAATGGTGACATTAAAACTGATATTGACCATGCTCTCGAAGACTTGTTTCTAGTACCCTGCACTTTTCAAGATGGAAATATAGCGGAAATTTTGTGAAAATTGTGATTACCTTGATACAACTCTCAAGGTCATGTTGCCCCTGACTTTGGAATTCGCACTGATTCGTCTTCAAGACCAGAACGTCAAGGTCAAGCTAATTTTTTTATCCAGGTTCACACCTGAACGTAAAATTTTCGGCTCTACCCTTTTGCAGAGTCAGAAGTATAAGGTCCATTCAAAAACACTGCCTTGACTTTGATTTGACCTTAAAGGTCATGATCAACGTCAAATTCAATGTGTTTTTATTGTTGGACGTTTAAAGTATTGAAATTTGTACGTGTGTACAATTGTTGTTCATCTATAAATTAAACTATATTCATCATCTATACCTATTTTCTACTTTTGACGTGCCATGTATCTACCTGGCTAAAATAAACAAACAAACAAGCCACTAAATAGCCGTTGCATATTCCGGAATATCTTGCGATTTTAAGACTTTTGAATCAGCCTATATGTACACACAAAAACTTTTCTCTGACGTCATTTAGAATGACCTGTTATCTTGTGTAAATCATCAACGTGCGCTTGCTGATTAACAAAAAATAATATATTTACATATAATTGTGTTCACTTTCATTTTTCAAGTCTCGCGAGTGAACTGTGTACATGGCCAGTTATTGATTCTGGAAAGTACAGTCCATCATATAAATTTATAAACCACTTAGATGTAGCATTTAACGCCCGTGCTAAAGTAAGCCTATCCATCTAATCGATACGAACCATGGAACAAAACAATATGTACATAATAAGAAATAAATTTATCACGACACTTTAAGCTATTTAACAAGCATTTTAATATTACGTTGTACATCAGTTACATGTGGCAGTGGAGGCTGACTCGTCCTAGCTATCAATTTTTTTCCATATGTGTGAATATCTATTGTCACAATTCAGACTTTGGGAAAGTTATTCTTAACTGCAATGTTTTATTTAGCCCACAAAAACCGGTGAGGGATACACGCTTCAGGCTCTTAGGGTAAAACTGTACATACTATAAAGTTAGGAGTTCAAGTTGGAAACATGACAATAGATATTAGCAAATACTGACAACTGAATATGAGCCAACTGAAATAGATTTCGGTACTTATGCAAAAGATGTCTTGCAATGATCGCAACTATGACTATTACGAAATAAAATATATAATCGCGTCGAATCATTTCGTTTCATTGATGTTGGGATATTTTTAAAAAAAATACAACAATATTAAACAAATATGGATAGAATTCTCAGTACATGCGCTTGTAGTTTCAGATTCACGAATATCTACAAACATAAAATATAATTAAACGAAATATATCACAGCGTAGAATAGTTAAAACAGTTGGTATTAGAGAAAGAATTACATAATCTGTACTAGCACATTGAACTGATTTTTCCATCCATTCAAGGATAAAATACAAATAAACTATTTAGATTCCTAATTGAAATAGCAAAAAATAGATGGTCTTATACATGAAAGACAATTCTGTCATAGGCAGATATGGTTTAATATTTCAGTATTTCTTTAATACCAATATATAAGATCCTCAAATTTGTTGATTTTTTCATCTGTTACAATTAGGATTAGAAATAGTGTATATTTTTTAAGTTTTTGCTTCTTATTGAGACACCCTACCGTATACTATTGTGAAGAATTAAAAAAAAGCCAAATTGACAAATCGATATTCCTTGAGCAAAAATCATTCCCATATAAAATACTGTAAAATTACTCTAACAGCGTGTATAGGTGTGTAAAAATAGTGATTAAGAATTACATAAAATACAATTGAATCTAATAAATAAATGAATAAATATAAGTAGGTAACAAAATAAATAAATAAATAATGAATATGTAGAAAGTCAGCGTAATTACAGCAAAAAATGGGAATCACAAGTGCTTTGTCCATCACACCTATTAGCAGCAAGATGATGAATAAAAAGCGAAAATAGCTTCCTCAAATTTACAATTACAGCCTGAAATATTCACGCATTTTTTTTCGAGAAAATTGAAAAACTATACGTCAATTTTTCAGCACTAAGACGCATCTAGATACTCTAAATTCATTTAAAAATGATACATCTATTATAAAATTACCACTTCATGATATGTTAAGAGTCTTACAACGTCACTTTCTAGCAATGGGAAGTATGATGCTAATTATAATAATAGACAACTAAAGAACACTACTGAATTCTCGATTCATCAATTATTTTCTTTCAAAAATATAATGGCCGCGAAACGACAGGAAAATTACAACAAAAATAAAAAAAAAATCACAATAATCGGATTCATAAAATGATTTAGTTCCTTATACCACCACAAATCCTTGAGAATTACGCGTGAGTATTGAAGAACTCCCGTATAAAAACATAAATGTCGATCGGCATCTACTTCAGTTGCCTCAAAATTAAAAAATCGAACTTTGAGATTTTAAACAAGTCTAAATTGATCAGGAGGCGTGTTCACATTACTGTACAATACGAAGTTGTTGTACACGTCACAAAGCTCTTGCATTTTATACTCTTCAAGGCAAACGAACCCGTCGAGGTTTATAGACTGTTTACGAGCACAATCCAGGCAGTGAACTACATGGCGCTTCTCTTGCTCCCGTATGAACAGGATGTTGAATACCTCGATCTGCAAAGAATAAAAGAATCGTGACCACTCCATCCACAGAAACTTAAGACATCACAGCATGCGTTCATCAAGGGCAGATATGTCGTGGCCATATCGAAAAATTGACCATTTCATGAAATGATCGAACATTTCATGAAATGTAGCATTATCTATTGGCCAGATCATGATGCGCGTTGATCAGATCACTGATAAGAAATCGTTTAAGGATATGATCAAGTAAACGCGCGGCTAGTTCATGATATGGTCAAGCATGTTTGATCAAATAGTAAAATATTTACATTAGCTACCCATACAGGCGCTGGCAGCGCTTTGTTTACATTTCAACACGGCAGTCGTTAATAAGAAAAGTTGTTTTTAGAAGTGGAAAAATGTTGACGATTTAACGATATAGTCAAATTTAGTTGGCCATTTTATGAAGTGGCAATTTCTACGATATGGTCACGTCAGATGCACTACGTCAAACTAAAAGACAATTACACAATATACCGAGTGTTACTATTTAAGTACGTGGCCAAACTTCAGGGGATGATTCTTTTAGTTTAGTAATTGTAAGATGAAAAACTTATACAAACATAAATAGGTCCAGAAATGCTTCATTTCCAAGATACTACAAACTACAGGATGCCAAACATTTCTAAAAAATCTGTTTTCCTAAATATCTTCATAAACTTTCAGTCGATTTTGTTTAAATTTAGCAGTGGTATTAAGGGCAGAAAGGGGCGAACTTAGCCCCAATTAGATTGACAAAGTCCAGTGGCGTCCCGGAAAACACCCTAACCAATATCTTTGACAAAAAATTTGTGCGCCACTGACTTTTTCAATTTCATATTTTCTGTTCGCACTAAGCGGCTAAAAATACAACTTTTTTGTCTCTTGAGTTTCTTTCCTATCTCGCTTTATTGCATGTCCATGGTGCAACATAATAAAACATTAAAACCACCAAACCAATTAACATTAGACGAAAGACATCTCTTGAAATTTTTTCGCACATATTTAAAACTAATTTCGATAAAACAAAACATAAAATAATCGCATAACGTAATAATTTATAACAGCAATGTTCTAAAAGTAACAAAAAATAAGAGTGCCATGAAAGGAAAAACAACTGCTACTCAAACAAATCTGAAGCAGCCATTGAGACATTGAACATAACACTGACGAGTCTCCTATAAGCAAGTCCTCCATTCAAATGATTCGTACTGAAAAGCTGAAGGAGCGCGCAGAAGCTATACAGCTTGGTTTCCAAAGCGAGGTACCGGATACTGTAACTTTCTATTGGATGGCAAATTGTTGCCTTTAAATGCACGCAAGTCTAAAGAAGAACATCTACCGCTTGTTATAACGCATGAAAACATAGAGCAACTTATCGCTGCGCCCAAATTAAATAACTCTTTAGGCAGCCAGCAGGCTCAGGCAGTTTGGGATGCTATTATTGACTGGAATCTTGAAGAGTTCAGGTTATCTGTTGTGATAATACTGTTTCAAATAACTAACGGTTCCTGCGAGCTTCTCGAACAGAAACTTAATAAAGAAATACTTATTTTTGCTCGCCGCCATCACGTCTACGAGTTGGTGTTTAAAGGCGTGTTTAAATCAAAGACCGTCTAAGTGACTACAAGCGTGTGGATCTCGAGAAAATACAGATTTATACTGAAAAGTTATCACGCCTGAATATTTCAGAGATTGACAAGCTGCTAGAATTTTATCGACATGAATTGACAGTTATATCTGCCTGTTCATCGAGACAACATACGTGAAACCGTGGTTGCAATGCACTTTAGCGTAAAAGCACCTAACAAGGACTTATGCTTTTTAACGGCAATGAAGGCTTACAACAGAATTCCAAAAGCAGCTTTATAAAAGTTCTGACAGCATTTATGGTTATTTGACAGATGAGGTCGCTATCTTATCTCTATTTGACGACGACTTGAATGAGGAAATTAAAGTAAAAATTGTTGCTAATTTAGCCAAAGAAAGTCCACCAGCCCACGGTAAACGCTACATCCCATGGAAAGAAGAACAGATAGTTAGATGCTCGTTGTCCTGACCTGAGGCCAAGCGTAGACGATGTTGATGAGTTGCCAAAGAGCATAAAACATCTGTCCATGGTTGACTGTCTGTGATCGGACGGACAAAACCAATATGTTTAGATGGCAGCTATTCATCGTTTTTTCATTTCAAAGAAACATATCGAGGACTTTCAATCTTTCATCGTTCAATCAAATGCCAGACCTTGTTCAGTCGACTCAAAATTCTTTTTGTCGACGAGTGTCCAACTTCATGGCCACATAATGATTCTTTTCAACACGCTAAGAATAAGGTGCAAACACTTAAGAGCAGTTAACGATATGGCAGAAAGAGCAGTCAAGTTAATGCAAGATTTCCATGGCTTAATCACTGCTGATCAGGAACAACAAGAATTTTTATTACGTTTCGTACAAGAACACAGGCAGGTATATCCTGACTGTAAAAAGAAAATTTCGTAGGTGATGTGCCTTCAATGATAAATATCTGAGAAATATAATATTGTGGAATAAGAATGAGGTTTTGAGACATACTTTTGATCATTGTCAAAATATAAATCAAATACGAAGACCGTAGAAATAGGGTAACTAATCTGCACGATAATCACAATAAAATTTGCTGCGCAAGTAATTCAATAGCCCTATATCACAGTGTAGAAGTTTATCATATACCTGTGTATGAAATTCACAATGGCCGATATGTAAGTAAACAAGATGACTGTAATGTGTTAGTTATATATTCTTCACTTCGTCTATACAGTACATAAGAAATAGTTTGGTTGCAATGAAGTAGAATCACGTAACAGAATAGTTGTATAGTTGACAAAAACTGAATCTTGCTTACACTTTTGTTGTATAACTGCAGCCCTTATACAACCTTTTAAATGACTGAAGTGTCCTAAGGTGTGCCCATTCCGCTTGTATAGCTGTTCTAAGAGGGTTTTGCCAATGTTCTTACAGTATACAATGCTGTTTAAGGAATACTGTATAATCATTCTTGCATCTCTAATAGGAGTGATAATTGTTAGTTGGGGCAGCTGCGAAAAATTAATGGCATTTCATCCCAGATAATTTTTGGATGCCGAAGTAAAGTATTGTTGGCTATCTGAGGGAGAATACATTAATCGATGGTCACAGGAAATCTTGTAAAACTTATTATATGACCTCAGGACAAATTTTTACAGCTTAGATGTTGATAAGAGATTACACGAAATTTCTGAGCTAACTTCTAGGTCTTTATAAAATTTCAGATTATAGCGAATGAAATATATCTTATGGATTGGTTAAAAAACTTACCTCGCATTGTCCACAATAATGTGATGCTTCATTTTTTCCTCGTCCATGGAACTTTACCTCAACGCCTTTCTGTTTTACGAATTCCAGGATCCGACAGCATTTGATCAGAGTCTTCAATAAGCAATTTCTGAAAAAAAAACATAACTGTCAACACTTCAGGAATAAAATTTCTATGACCCGAGTTCGATTTTTTTACGAGAAAATTTAATTATGAACAAATGTTGTACTTACTTGATCAATTCAAAAAGCTTCTTGTCTGAGACTTTGATGTTTCGTGCCAAGTTCCAAGACAGATGAAGCATCGGCACAATTGACTTGAAACTCTGCAACTTGTTCCACTCATATCTATCGATTGCCAGTGAATATTGTCGAGCCGTCAAAGGCCCGACGTTCCACGCAATATTGTTACACCATCCAACTGCTTGGACCCAGTGCACGCATCCTGCGTTGACCCATACCAAGTCTCCAGGCCTTTGAAGGAATCTATAAAACATAGAAACATATTTTCAAATACTCTGAGAACGTTAAATATTGGGATCGTGCGCGTGACATTTTCGCTCAATAGTTTCGTTTGCCAAACATGGCAGCGTGGTGGCGTAATGGAAGACGCTATCTAGGATCTCCAAGGCCCACAAGTTATGTACCTTGCTCGCTCTGTACAATATAATTATTATATTGCATGATATTAGCGTCATCCCATGTCCTTATACTGCCGCTATTAGAAAACTTCGAATTAATCCCACACATGTACCAGGTCTGTAAGTTAAGATGAGATTGGCGACATGCGTTAGATCTGGCAACACTGGAGGCTCCGGGCTCTTATGGGAGACTGGGGAACATGTGATCCTCCTTCCGTACAAGTTTGAACTCGCTTGAGTCGTTTGGTTGTCCATAGCATTTTTTTTTGTGAAACAGTTTTTTCTATTGCGTTCTAAAAATGAGTGATATCAATTTCGATCAACGGTGTGCAATCAGGACTTGGGCACAATGTAACGGAAACTCTTGCTAAACTTCAGCAGGCCTATGGAGATAGTGTTTTGTTAAGAGTCCAGTTATTTCGGTTCAGATCGTCGGTTGACAGTCAGCATGATCGAGGAAAAGTTAAATTTGACTCGCATCACCGTTCATCAGATAAAGAACTGGGTGTTGCATCATGATAATGCTCCTTGTCACACAGAAATGACAATAATCGAGTTTTTGGCCAGTAAAATTAGTCCTGTGGCCCCTCAGCCTCTTTATTCGCCTGACTTGAGACCTTGCGACTTTTTTCTTTCCGAAGTTAAAAAATCACCTCAAGGGAACCCATTTTGGGACAGTTGAAAACATTCAAACGGCTGTAACCGATCGGCTGAAGGCTATTCGAGTATCCGAGTTCCAGCACTGCTATGAGGAGCGGTAGAACCGCCTTATGCGATGAGAAAAGAAAGGTGAATTATCAAATACGAACAAGTATTATGGAACCGAAGCATTTCCGGTTTCTGTATTCAACCCTCGTTACGCTGCGTTAAAACAATAACATATGCATCAGCTCGCCTGTCGCTACCTGATCAGGCATTTACGGCTCGCTGGCCAATAGGACCGCAAGAATTTGAAAATCATGCGCTGGCGTTTGTTTTGACACGACGTGAATGAGATCTAAATAGGTTGTACTCGATACGGGTTTTCGATAAGCTTAGAGATATTTCCGTCCAGGTGCAAATGACGTACCTATACACTGGTATGTTAGCATTATAGAGATCCTCGAGTACAGGCCACCAAGAACCATGCAAGTAGTTGATTTGATTTTTCTCGCAAAGGTGCGAGATGGCACCCCAGTATGCATCAGGTACTGCAAACCACTCACAATCACCGGGGCCAATGTTGATGTTGATTGAGCAAAAATTATTGTTTTCCTGATGGCCTGGGGTCCTACTGCCTGGAACCTAGAAAGAAAAAATCGGGTTAAGCTCTGATGTCACAACTGAGTACGTTTGTCATTTGGCAATGCATCACATAAACAGTTAAGCTACGTTTACAAGATAAAAAATGTATTGGGTCATGTGCCGCCACATTTGCTAGATATTTGTTGGAATGGAAATAATCTGCAACAAAAATGCGCACCGCGGACTAGTAATGTGCTTTCTAGTTCATTTCGGTGAACTAGTTCCATAGGTTCACTAAAGCGAAACTAGTCCGCGAACGAACTAATTTATACAAGAATAATGTCAGTGGAAGCGTCGTCTCTCAATCTTTAATCTGCAGGGTTATGCATTTTTTAGACGTGGAATCCACTTTTTGGGCAATGACTTACCAGACAAATTGCTCGATTCAGTCCTTGGTTTGTTGTGTGACATGAGGATGTCGTGGAGCAAGTCTTACGCTTTGTGATTTTGGATCGCCCGTCTCAGCTTTTTCAGAAGCCTCAGGAATTTCAACCGCATGTTCTCAGATCGTGATTCGCCGATATACGAACAAGATTTGCTCAATCTTCGCCATAACTTCCTCGGAGATCGGCGGCCTCCAACTTCGTGAATGTCCATGTGGACGTCAAAGAACTCTTTTCACTCTTTGAGAACATGTTGAATGCGTATACACGTTTCCCCTATTCTTCACTAAACTGGCGATTTCTATAGGTGGTAACGTTTTTCCGTGCAAAAATCGGATGACCGCACGAATTGCCCATTTGGCGGTGACGGCGATGAAGGGGTCCATTGCGCATGGCTGTCAGGCCGGTACCGGTACTAAGCGTCGCCAATATGCGCTTCTTATTGGTATTGGTGGTGGGGGAGCGGAAACACATGACAGTGTTGCCAGATTTCGCCTAGCATCACGCGCGGCAAGTGACAGCATTGAAGCAACCCTCGTAATGTCAAAAAACCGATTAAGTGTCAACTTGTTGAGATAGTAGGCTAGTGTGGAAACAGTTCATTCCACGCTTGCTACAAGTGAGCATGAAGTGAACGACAGCTAGTTCCAAGTTGACATCTCGTTGGAAGACCTAATAATGTAAAAACAACCGGCATGTCACTTTTCAAGTTATGTAATACTCCTGCGGATCGCCCGAGTTAAGCAGCGTCGGGCGCGGATAGCATTTGGATGGGGAGCCGCTTCGGAGCACCTCGTATTGTTTTATCTGTATTTCATTCAATTTAAATAATCCACGTAAAATGTAGCTCACATAGCAGATGTAGCTATGAGATATACAAGTTTTCTAAAAATAACGTGCACTTTTATTTTTGATTTCACCAGTTCAGAAGGTTTTCAATAAATAATACAAACCTAGGCAACCCTAGGTATGTAGGCGTCCTCCTTTCGCAAGAACGGTTTTTTAGTATCTCAGACAAAAGTCAATCGGAAAATGGACTGAAGCAGAAAACAGTATCAGACCTTTTGGACGATTTTGACCTTGAGGTAAAACGTATTTGCGCAGTTTAAAATTCAGTCGCAGCAGGTATTATCAAACAAGATAAATATGTTCATGAACCGCTTTTAGCACTGAAGTGATGCCAGGAACGAGAAAAATATATCCGATTAGTTGAGATGGTTAAAAAACGATTGTGTCTGCCATCTGTGCCATGCGAGCGGCTTTTTTCGAAGGCTGAGCAAGCAGTCTTGTAAGCAGAAATAAAGCCGATAAAGCTAAGAAATTAATGTTTTCAAGTGAAATTTTATAGTTGATTTACATTTTTATTCAAGTATTGTTTCGCAATGGGTGATCTTTTCTATAAAAGTTAGCTAATTTTCTATTTTCTCAGCCTTTATTACACAGCATGTATCATCTTTTTCATAACTTCCAGGCAAGTTATAGAACCTTCTGCGTACGGTTGTGTTCCGTCTCTTTCTACTAAAACGAGAGTTCTAGTTCGTCACTCGCAATTAGTTCTATTGGATCATCGGATTCCTGCAATACCAGTCGTTCACAGCGAAAGAGTTTTTCGAGGAATAATGAACTAGCTCACTTAGTTCAATCACATGAATCGTTCGAATGAACTAGTGCGTTCGATCCGGCCCTGCCTCTTTACCGAGTCGCAGCAGTTTAAACGGGCTCTTGAAAAAGTTTAATTTCTACCAGTAAAACAACGTAATTTGTGCATAGTGACATATCCATACCATCAAGATAGAAGCCAGCAGCCTACTGTGAGTAAGAAACCATCGAATTTTCATCGATATTCCGCTGTTGAAGCAATACAGCAGTGTGTGCTAGCCACAGTGCTGAGATTTCCTCCTGCGTTTGTGGAATTCACGTCGCACAAAAAGACTCCTTCATCGTCGTGTTACAAAACACAGTACCGTACTCAGATATGGTCACAGCACATCTGAAAGAAGGCAATTGAACCAAGAAAGATGTCTCTCCAAAGTATTCCTACAACATCAACAAATATCACCAATGCTCCATCTTATTCTACTGTACTAAATCAGCCAGTCACTTACAAGCATCCCAATAAAGATCAAGCCATCGTTTTCAATTCCATCGAGGGTACCAGGATACAAGATTACCTCTTGGAGCTGGGCCCAGTAGATCCAAAAAATATAATATTCTGCTCCAGGATTTCAAATAACCGTATTTGCATTTATTTCTCCAACAAGCAAATAGTCGACAAATTTCTCAATAATCCTGGAAAAATCGAATTGCAAGGACAAGTTGCACATGCACGGCGACTAGTAGCACCTGCAGATAGATTAGTCATCTCAAATGTCTGCCCCACAATACCGCACGCAAAAATCAAAGATAGCATACAACGTATAGGCATCAAAACAGTTTCGCCTATGTCATTTCTGAAGATCGGCGCACCTCTTCCTGAATATAATCATATTTTAAGTTTCCGAAGACAGGTATATATTGAACCGCTAGAATCTGAAATTCCCAATTCTCTAGAAATCAGCCACGATGACCTTACGTATCGAGTATTCTTATCTCTTGATAGTCAAAGCTGCTTCAAATGCAAAATGTCAGGTCACATTGCTTCTCGATGTCCAGCGTCCTCCAACTCTTCATCCACAACACAAACGCTTAATGAAACCCCAAGCCCAACTACAACCTCAGCAACTGCTCAGCCAATAAATGACCCATCAGAGACCAGCGCTACCGCACTTAATTTGGCGCAGGCAGAATCTTCGATGTCAACAGTAACCTCCGTAAATTCGATAAATACAACTAGTGCAAACAACAAGAGAAGCATTTCCGAAATAACAACTCCAACTTCGGAAGCAACACCCTTCACAGATCCCAACTTAATGCCAGAACTTGTTATACCCAGACAAAATCCAAAGAAAAAGCCAAAATCAGACCCTACGCACTCATATATTCTAGACGACAATATGGAATCAGTAAAATTGCTCATAAATAGCAGCGATGAGAACTACATCCTCGACTATAATCAGCTGAAAAGCCTCCTTGAGAATACCCATGGTGCAAAAGACACAATAAGCATTGTTCACGAGTACACAGCAGATATAAAATCACTCATTGAAATGCTCTTAACAATTTATCCTCATATAAAAGACAAAACAATAAAAAACCGCGTAACCAGACTGAGGAAAAAACTAGAACGCCATTTAGAGAATAAATCTAACGATTCTTATGACGAAACCTCTTCAGTGGACTCCACATTTTAATATGCTATCATTCAACACTATTATCCAGTGGAACGTAAATGGATACTTCTGCCACCTGAATATGCTAAAGCTTCTGATATCCTCCAAAAACCCAGATATTATGTGTATACAGGAGACCCACTTCCGAGGAAACCAATCACATACTCCTAAGCATTACCAAGGTTTCTTCAAAAATCGCGCACAAGACACAGCTAGTGGAGGAGTGTCTATTTATGTGAAAAAAGAAATACCGGTGATGCAGCTCAACCTCAAAAGTAATTTGGAAGTAATAGCAGTCTCGTTAGAAGCTCCAAAAAAGATCAACATATGTAATTTGTATATCCCTCCAGACTATCACCTAGAAGCGGCAGAACTGGAAGCACTGTTAGATCAAATTCCATCTTCAAGAATACTGTTAGGTGATTTCAATGCACATAACTTCGCCTGGGGATCACACAAAAATGATATTCGTGGCAAAATAATAAGCGACGTCATAGATGGATCCAACCTGTCTATACTCAACAACGGAAATGCAACTCGATTTAATGCAGCTAATGGCAACTTTTCCGCAATTGACATAACTCTATGCTCACCCAACCTTATCACACAGCTGGAATGGGACACAACGGATGACCTTTACAGCAGCGATCATTATCCAGTAATCGTGACGAATACGAAACAGATAACTGACACCCCTACAGAAGTACCAAAATGGAACCTGAAACTTGCAAATTGGCAGCATTTCTCAGACTATATTGAAGAAAACCTTCAAAAAGCAGTGATAAGCGTTGACATAGATTTAACAATAGAAAACTTTAATAACCTAATAATAGAAGCGGCACATTTGAGCATAGGAAAAACAAAACATATGAATAATAATCACAATCCAGTTCCTTGGTGGAACAAAGACTGCGAAATGGCGATAAAAGATAGTAAACACGCATTCAATAGACTTAAGAAACACAATACTCCTGAAAACCTGAAAGACTTTAAACTGAAAAGAGCTCGAGCACGCTTATCTATAAATAAACACCAAAAAGAGTCCTGGCAAAATTACGTTAGCAGCATTAATAGCTCCACCCCCCTCTCTAAAGTATGGAAGAAAGTCCAAAACATATCAGGAGACAAGTCATACAGTCGTATAAAAGCCATTCAAGACGGGCAAGCACTTTACACAGAAAACGACAAAATTGCAGAAAGCCTATCTAAAGTTTATTATCAGAAATCTAGTAATGAGAGCTACTGTCAAGATTTCCTCGCATATAAACAACAGGAAGAAGCTACTCACATAAACATAACCCAAGATAATACTAATCCTGTAAATTCCCTTTTAACAACAGCCGAATTTGAAGAAGCACTAAATGACCTGAAAGATACGTCCTCAGGCCCAGATGATATACCCCCTATCTTTCTGAAATATCTTCCAGCAAACGCCAAAAACCATCTCCTACAAATATACAATATACTCTGGATACAACATGTATTTCCTAGCTTATGGAGGCAGGCCATTATTATACCTATTCTCAAACCTAATAAATCATCACTCGACCCACAGTCATACAGACCCATTTCATTAACTTGCGCAATGTGCAAACTCTTAGAAAAAATTATAAACCGTAGGCTCATTTGGAACTTAGATCAAAAACAGTTACTCGCTGGCGAACAATCTGGATTCAGAACCAACAGATCCACGTTAGACAATATAATTGACTTGGAAAATCATATACATGAAGCGTTTGACAATAGACAATACTCACTAGCTATATATTTTGATATAGACCGCGCCTTTGATACTGCGTGGAGGCACAAAATCACAACAACGCTGAAAAAATGGGGCTACAACGGAAATATACTGGCATTCATTTTGAACTTCTTACGTGACAGAGTCTTCCGAGTAAGAGCCAATGGAGTCTTGTCTACACAAAGAAACCAAGAAAATGGAATACCCCAGGGCTCAATCATTAGCCCCACGCTGTTTCTTATCGCTATAAATGACGTTTTGGATGCGATTAATAAGCCAATACAAGTGAGATTATACGCCGACGACATGATCTTGTATCTAAAAGAAAGACATCTCGATACAGCTAAGAATTTACTACAGATACAACTAGATAAATTATTGGAATGGTCCAAACAATCAGGATTTACCTTTTCGCCAGAGAAAACTAACTGTATAATATTTTCGAAGAAACCAGTAAGGTGCAAGCCAAATCTAAAGTACAATAATATTCAACTCCATTACACAACAGAAATAAAATTTCTTGGCATTATATTTGATCAACACTTGAACTGGAAACCACACATCCGAGGACTGATTAAATCCTGCCAAAGAGCAATCAACTTACTGAAATGTTTAGCAAACAAACGATGGGGGGCTGATGGAACTACACTTTTATACCTCTACAGGTCCCTAATCCGATCAAAAATTGATTATGGATGTATAGCATACGCATCGGCAACAAATTCGACCCTTAAACAACTAAATGTCCTGCACAATAATGCTCTGCGCCTTATACTTGGTGTTTTTAGGACCACACCATGTGACAGCCTATACTGTGAAGCTGGCGAGGCACCGCTCTACCTCAGACGTCAGATCTTGAGTCTTTCATATGCAACAAGAGTTCACTCTAATCCAGCAATTCCTATCCATAGTCGACTAGTAGCTACTATGTCACAGAATGGCATGAATATAACAAGAAGGGGCTCTTTCTGCCAGAGAACAAGTTTGCGTCTCAGATCACTAAACATATCGTTCCCCCCTACCTATCGCACTTCAGCATCCTCTGTCCCACCTTGGCTGATCAACTTACCTGACATCAATACCAGGATGACAAAGCTTAACAAGCACGATGTACCTCACGAACTAATAAGACAGCGCTTCAATCAGCTTATGCAGGAACATTTGGAACACCAAAAAATTTACACAGATGCAGCTAAAGTAAACTACAAAACAGGCGCAGCAGTCATCACACCGACCACTATTATTGCTACGAGATTACCAGATGAAGCTACAATTTGCACGGGTGAACTTCATGCTATAATGGAAGCTCTCCAACATATCACAGAGAAGGCAGCTACAAACTGGGTAATAATATCCGATTCACTGAGCTCACTCACAATGATTGGACGAGTTTACGTGAGTAACCCGTTGGTGATCAGTATCAAGGAGCATTTACATCGATTACATACGGAAGGCAAAAAAGTTAACTTCATTTGGGCTCCATCCCACGTTGGCATCCGGGGTAATGAGGAGGCAGACCAAAAAGCAAAAATCGCAGCGCAAGGAGAACTATCAGCAACAACAAAAATACCATTCTCGGATACAAAAACTTACTTCACTTATAAAATATATCAAGAATGGAACAGTGAATGGAGAAATAAAAATTCTAAGCTCTTAGAGCTCAAAACATCTATGGGGCCATGGCGCTGTATTACCCAGAATCGAAGACATCAAATAGTTATAACCAGACTACGACTCGGACACACCCAGCTCACTCATCGGCACCTTTTCAATAGAGAACAACCACCAACCTGTGACATTTGTGAAGAAACACTCACCGTTAAACATATCTTAGTGGAGTGCCCACTACTGGAAAGTGAAAGACTTCAACATAATATTAACGGAACTCTAGCGGATATTATAGGGGACAAATGTGACATTAACCAACTACTTATGTATTTAAGAAAAATTAATGTTCTACATAAGATTTAATCACATCCACCGCTAATAACCTATAAAGGTTGATGCGGTTATTTCTTTGAATAAAAAAAAAAAAAACTAGTGCGTTCGCGAACTAGACACCACTACCACGGACATTCCAGTTTGCAACTTTTGTACAGACAAAATGTTGAAGATATTATATTATATACTAAGCGACATATAAAATGCAACACCCAGAGTTGTTTATTGAATTTTGATAAAAACTTGTAAAATATTTGCTATCATGGAAGTATACCCTGATAACATGTTGAAGGCATTCCGAGCCGTACTGTTTTTTATAAAGGCTTTCTTGTCAGGATTCGAACAATATGAACATGTTTACTTGATATTCAGAGATTTTTCTTTGTTGTTTCCACTTGTTTCATTGAATTATCAAGCCTAGAGTTCGCAGACGGAATGGAATATGGAACTCAGTCGTGTTTAGCGGTGAGTCCAGATTCTGTTTGGGCACACACGATGGCCGTGCAAGGGTAGGGAGGAGAATGGCATATTCATCGCACTGTGGGTGTTATGGTATTGGGTGCTATTGCTTACGGCAGCATATCCACGAAGTCTTTCAACCACATCTGCCTCCCTTTTTGGAAGCATCGCAAGATCCACTTTTCGAACAGGACAATGCACGACCTCATGCCGCACGTGTTAGTTTAGACTTCTTAGAAGCGTCCGGAGTAAATGTGCTTCAGCGGCCTCCTCGATCTTCAGACCTTTCCACGATCGAACATGTATGGGACATTATGGGAAGAAGGTTGCAAAAGTCACCGCACCCTCCACAAACATTGGAGGCTCTACGAAACCAAATTCAGATCGCCTGGGATACAAGAAGACATCACTCCCCTAATCCAATCAATGCCGCGACGATTTGACGAATATGTAGCGAACAGAGGAGCTTCAACATATTATTAAGGTGAGATATCTTAGCTATTTTGCGAAATTTCGAGTTACAATTTTAATCAGTTTCTATTTATCAGTAGACCTAAAACTTGTAAAGTAAACTCAAAATTACAGCACTCCTAATCAGTGTTGCATTTTCTATGTCATTTAGTATATAGTGGTAGTATACTTTTATAATGTTCCCTCTTCCTTACCTTCATGTAAAGTTGAACAGTATTCATCCCTAAAATTACATGACCAACATGGGACAACATATTAGCGGCTGAGACAACTCTTGCAAAGGCTGGTAATTTCATAAGTTCTTGCAACTGCGGCCTCCATTTCCGTTCATCTGACAGATCTACGTTTGTTCCAAATCTGAAAAAAGGGATGTACATCATGAGACAAAACAGCGAGTTTTACTGAATCTAGGTAACTACGAAGTCTGCTTCAAGTTACTTGAATGTATGCTATATCTATACAGGGTGTCCCAGAACTCGACGTCAAGCCGGAAACGGGGGTTAGGTCACGTCACAATAGTTATCAGAAAAATATAAAAAAATCTAAGCCATGTACTTTTCAAATGTATAGGCTTAAACAATTAAAAATCTATACCCTATGATGGTCTTTAAGTTCCCAGACGGAGTGACGGACACTGTCATTCTACGTAGTGACAGCAAGACAGATATCAACGATACTTTTATTAATTCATGAATATATACATTGAATTCAAAATAAATGATCGAGTTATTAACAAATTCAGCTGCTTCCGTTATTATGTCCCGTAGCTCAGCAACATTTTCGATTGGCTTTGAGTAAACATTTCCTTTCACCTCTCCTCAATAAAAACATCGAGTGGATTCAGGTCAGGTGAACGGGCTGGCCACGACATTGTACCAGACCGCTCTAATCATCTGCTTGGGTATTCCACATCAAGATATTCTCCAACAGAACGGGCATAGTGCGCCGAGCAGCCATCTTGGTGGTACCACATGTCTCTGTAAATGTTTAGGGGCACGTCTTCCAATAAACTTGGTAAATGAATTTGTAAGATGTCTAAATAAATATTGCCATTCAAGAACTCTGGCAGCTCAAAGAGTACAATGATTCTCCTGTCTAGAATCCCGGTTTACTTCAAAAGGATACTGTGATCTCTCTTGTCTCATCAAACATAGATAGTCTACAAGCTACATGTGTCAGTTGTGTAGATTCATGTAACCATCTATTTTAAATGTCGACTCGTCAGTCCATACAATTTTCTCGGAGAATCGCGGTATGGGTGGAGCTCGTTCTTTCGCAAGGTTTGGTGGGTTGTCCTTTTGGGCACTCCCGTGCTTTGACGTACTCGGGTGTTCTTCGACTACTTAGTATGACGTCCTCTTAAGGTAAGGAAATTCCCCCTTCACTATGTGCTTGATTTGGAAATCGTCTTTCTGAGAACGAACGGTGCACATTCACAAAAACTCGGTGATCGGGATGACGAGCATTTGGGTACCTCTCACAATAAAGCCTAGCTGCAGCACTAGCATTGCATCTACAATCCTCATAAATGAGGTGAGGTGTATGTTGGCGTATTTTTGTACGGTGTACACAGATATGGTGTCACTACCCACTACACAATCATGAATTAATTAAAGTGGCGTACTATATGTCTTGCTGTCACTACGCAGAATGATACTGTCCGCCACTCCGTCTAAGAAAAAAATGGAACTTGTAGTAACGGGAACTAAAAGATCATCACAGGCTGAAGATTTTTTCGATTTTTTTTTTGAAGCCTAAAATTTGTAAAGATTTTTTATATTTTCCTGACAAGGATAGCCCCCGTTTCCGGCTCGACGTCGACTTCTGGGACACTCCGTATAAATGTATTTGTCATCTCCATGGTGGCTTATTTAGAGGTAGTTCAAAGGAGTAACGAGTAATGTGTCTATAAGTCAAGTAGCCCTGAAGTAGGTGATATCTCCGAGGATCAACTGATTTCGACCCTTGAAATTTCAATGTCGCCATGATAGGTCAAGCTGACATTGAAATTTCAAATGTCAATATTAATCAGAATTAATCCCCCAGTAATGTGTAACTGTTCTTCATCGCTTTGGATTACAGGATACTGTAGAGGACCAGGCAGTTGAAGATCCTGACTAGACTGGGAGCTACAGGCTCTTGCCATTGACCATACATACTGTAGGTGCGTTAACACACAGATGCCACGCCATCATTGCCCTGGGCAAATGAGTAACGCGACCGAGATAATCGAGAGCCGTCGTCTGTCACGATACAAAATTTTGTTCATAATTTAGTACCAAATTTCGTGAAAAAATTCGTTACTGAATTTAATTCCGAATTTGTTTACAAATTACAATCATGTCTGACACCTAAAGAATTTTTTGTACTTAATTTCGTACGAAATCATACGCAGCTGGTAGGAAAAACTATAACTGTCAACGTCTAACTGCCATTTATCGCGTCAGTCATTCTAACCACACTTTATTTGGCGGCTTGCTACTTTATTAATTTACTACTTTATACAAATAGAAAATTGTTGAAAATGGAGCGATCGCGTAATTCGCATATATTATATGCGACCGCGGCAGCAGCGACCTGCGTTGTAGCTCCACCTCATGAGAAAACGAAGTAAACGAAACCGTAAAAGAACTTGGTGCCGAAAATGGATCAGGGAGACGGATCAGGGCACGGGTGTGCACCATATTATGCTCAATAAAGAACTTCTAGTGGAGGATCCACTGGCTTATAAACCTAATTGGTTCTTAAGTCATTCTGATTTTATCCAACGCAGCTTATTTGGCCTTTCTGTTTTTATACGCCTTACTTTTTACAGCATATAAACAATCATATTTCTCATACTCGTTTAGTAGTATGTCGCACAGCTCTTTTGATCATGACATCTAAGTTTTCAGTCTATAAGTAGAACAGCATAGTCTTTTTCACGAGTATCCATTACGGTAGAATGACAGATGATTATCTAGTAATATTTCAAAATTTCCCTTATCGGCAAAGAACACATAATTCTGACGGATCCGTCAATGCCAGGTAGATAGAGCCATATTTTGTTTTGGTATGCTACAAATTCATTTTGTAGTTGCTAAATTTCTTTTGTTTAGAAAAACTCATTTGCGTACAAAAAACAAAACGCTACAAACAAGTTTTAATAGATTTACACCCGATTCATTATTGCCAACGTTGCAGACTAACACAAAAACGTCACTTGCTGATCAGGTGTTGACCTCGGTAGACATCAAAGCGTGATGGATACCCGTAAAATAGGGTATAAGCAGGGGAGTTTCGCGAAACTGATAAGACACAACTAATGAATGTTTGAGGTTATAACCGCCATTGTACTGCTCCAAAAGCGCAGTAGTTGTCTGCGCACTTTTAGCACAGCTTAGATAACACTCAGCTATGAAACTCTCCTGTCACTGTCAAAAACGACCGCCATTTCGGCGGAGAATGTCGAATGTAAATTCCCCCAGTACAACCTTGAAAGAGGTTTCAGCGTTCCGTACTGAGTAGTCCTAGGCGGTGTTGACGCGTACCATGCGTTGCAATCGTAAAAATTATTTTATCGCGATATGAGCTAATGAGCAGTTTGTGTGGACCAATAATAAAAAAGGAGCATGTTTGTCCAAAACGAAGCGACAGAGTATTGATGGTTATTATTCATTCATGAAAAAGCTTCAGAATAAATTTGTAATGGTGGAAGGCGGTCAATATTTACAATAAACGGAAAAATATTTTACATTTGTTTGATATACTTAAGTAGAAGAAATTAAGGAAACCAGACGAAAACAGCAGTAACATTTATTTAAGATGATGCTATTTTGATATTAAATAATTTGCCCAACATTTCATTTTGAGACCACATGAACATTTACTGAAAGTTTTAAGAAACGTTATTATTCCTTTTCACATAAATCATCATGGGGGGGGGGGTCCTTGCAATATGGTGACACAAATTTGAACATTAGTGCCAGTAGTCTAGCGTCCTGAGGCGTACGTACCCTTAATCACGGCGTTCTATTGCATTGTTTTGGTCAGCGGTACAAATCTTATTCTTCTTATTTCAGAATCAACTCGTATGAATATTTATTAGTTTATAGCATTTGGTGTTTAAATTTTTTCAAGAAATTGCAGTCCTAGGCGGTATTGCCTCTTACCATGCTAGCGGCAACAGATATGCGTTCAATCGTGAACACTATAATATTACGATATGATCTTGAATAGTTTGTATGAATCAATAATAAAAAAGGAGCATGTTTGTTCAAAACTGATGTTCATTTATTTATGAAAAAACAATAAAATATATGTTCAAAACTTGTTACACACACTAGATCGAGAGACTGGTAATTTGAGTAAAATTCGTATCTATAAAATGCTTTATTTTCTTCCTAAAATGTCTTATATATAACATCTATGGCAAAACATAAGTCTACTACGACGAGAACAGTGCCTGAATAATTAAAAAGTATAAAATTATTTCATCTCACTTATCAGGTTACGATATAATCAGGTAACATAATGAGTATAGATTGGAAACGGGTAAAGTGAACGATCAGTGATCTATATTTACAGATCTATTGTAAGCCTAAATACAAAATCGTTAAAACGTAATTTTAAACTTTGTATTCATAATTATGATTTTATATTAACTGACAATCAAATTGGTGCAAAAGTGACAAAATTATTAACTATGACCCTATGATAGCAAAATCCAAATATTATCCAAAAGTCCTGACAAATGGCGCTACCTATTGTATTTGTTATTCTAACAAGGTTTAGTCTTTGGATAATGGGCGGCACCACTGATGCGCCATTCGGATTTATTAAACAAAAACCAGTTTTAATCCTTGGATGATGGATGGCACGACACGTTCCGTTTCCGTCCATTCGGATTTGTGGAACAAATTATACCAATTGCTATAAACTAATAAATATTCATACGAGTTGATTTCGAAATAGATCAGAATGAAACAATTCAAAAGAGAAACAAAAAAAAAACAAAAAAAGTAGAAATCGTCGGGTATGGATGGGATTTGAGCCGCTGACCAAAAAATGCAATAGAAACACGTGATTAAGAGCACGTACGCCTCGCGACACTACATTTAGCTTACATTATGGAAAAGTTCAACTTACGCTTAATTTGAGATTAAGCTACGATTAACTTATATCTAAGCTATGTTCAATTACCTTCAAGCTACATTCATGTTCAAGTCGTTATACAGCTACGTTTAAGTTGTTCAATTACTTTTAAGCTACATTCAAGTCATGCTTAAATCACGTTTACATTAGAGCTATATTTGGGTTACGTTTTAATACACCTTTATGTTTAAGCTATGTTTAAATTCGAGTTACGTCTATTTTACCTGTACATTACGTTTCCGTTCAAGTTATGATTGGTATGTTCAAATTGTATCTAAGCTATGTTTAAGTTCAAGTTACGTTTATTTTATTTTTAAGGTATGACGAAGGTGAGTGTATCCATCACGTTTTGACGTGTACTGAGGTGAACATCTGATCAGTAAGTGACGTCGTCGTATTAGTCTGTCAGGTTTGCAATAATGAACCGGGTGTAGATTTACAACTTGCTTATAGCGGTTGTTGGTATGCGAATGAACTTCTAAATAAAATAGTTGTTAGCAAGTACAAAATGAATATTTAGCGTACAAAAAACCAAAACAACATACGGCTCTGTCTACCTGGAGTTGACGGATCCGTCAAAATTATATCATTTATCGATATGGAGAATTATGAAATATTACTTGATAATCAGCTGTTATACCACAATAATGGATACTCGTGAAAAAGAGTAGTTGAGGTACTCAAATCACAACACATATTATACTTACTTCAGAGTCTTGTGCTCTTTTCCATTTTTGGGATTGACAGGTGGCACGTTCAGATTCAGTTTCCTCCTTTTACCACCTCCACCACCAACATTCCCTCCACTCCCAGTTATGTTGTGCACAGAATCCTTAGAATCAGAATCTGAAAGTCCACCAGCTGCTTTTTCGCGTTCCTCCTGAAAAAATTGTTAAATTACAAACCTGTTTGATAACATGACACAAGCATAACCTACCCTCAAGCTTTCTTTGAAGCTCGATGCCTGGTACTGCGCGTACCGAGCTATAGTCGTATGTGATCTGTGCGAGATGCATGCCCAAACTTTTTTGCCTGTCTGAGGATCCCAATTTTCGTCAGAAGGCTGTTGAATCTGGGTTCTCACTTCGACACTATGATCTGGATTTGCTTCCACCAGCGTTTTCGTCGAGAAAAGTCCTAGGTCTAGCTTTAAGGCTGATGCCAAACCTCTAAAGAGAAAGAGACAAATGGATAATTATCACATCAGAATAGTTTAAACCACAGTTTTATTCAGAAAAACAGGTTTTCGTAAATGAATCAAAATTAAATTTTTCTTTAGTCTGTTGTCATAGGTCATAGCACCTAAATACACCGTTTTTCATCAGATTTAGTAACAGTATTTTGATATACAAGGGTTGTTCCAAAAATATGGTTCTCAACGCTTTAACTGGCAACATCGCTGTGTTTGAAAGCGTTGGAAAAAAACGAGGGAACCATATTTTTGAGACAACCCTCGTATATCTCTAATAATCCTATAATTTTAGACAGAGTGGTCAATTTCGAAAAAAATCTATTGAAAGATGCGTAATTTCAAAGATGACGACAATTGAGTTGTGAAGAAGCAAAAAAATGATATTGATAAAGCGTACATCTCCAGGTGTAGAGAGAATTTTTCTTCTTTTGGCTTAATAGACTGGGTACCGAAGGCCTGGAAATTAGTTTTATTTAAAATATTTAATGAATCTTTAAATAATGAAGATGACTGAAACTGAAATTATGTCAGTAAAATATATTAATAATTCTCATGTATGAATACAAAAAAAGGTTGTACAATATGTTTGTGTTTTTATGTAAATACGTGTTGCCTTTAGACATAATCCTTTTTGGCCAATTTTCACAGAACCCTTCTACCTATCAAATAATGCTATTCACCTGCTACCTGTATTGATTAACAGGTCCAGTCCATATTTAAGCGCACATTGTTTAAATCAAATAAATCTGGTTTAAACCAAAAAAATTGTTTTTAACCAAATAGCTGTTTTTTTCAAAAAAACCTGGGTTATTATCAACTCTGCCAGTCACAACAGGCAATATTAATTTGGCGTCTGCCGACCTTGGCATCTAGTGTTGCCAGGTTATCTTCTTACTCGTTATCTGTTGCCAGGCACTCAAATAGTCATGCGTTTTACTAGATAGAGCTACACTTAGAAATTCTGTGCTGCTTTGCTGAACAATAGCTATATTGACATGTGAAATTGATTTTCAACTTACCTTACGACAGCAATGGGATGTTTCAGGCAGAATTCCTGAAGTTGTGGACTGAAGGCGTGTTTTTTGTTGTCAAGATACACAGAAGGTGTGGGCGGTAGTAACTGTTGATGAGTCAACTTTATTGCTGGGGGATCAGGGGGTGTTGGCGGCGGTGATGAATCAGAAAGCAGGATACTCGTTATGTCTCCGTTTACTGCTTCATTCCTACAAAATACCAATAGTACTGAAGCTCACCCTGTATAGGTGTTACCCAAAATTCGCTAACTAGCTAAGAATGAGACCAGATATTTTTCAATTGCCAGAAGTAACTTGACAGTTGACACTTGGCCTAGGGCTTGGTGTGTACTCCTTAGTTACAAGTATTAGGCAACCAGACGCCTGTCAAAAATCCATCCAGTTTTCGTAGTTTATTCGTACTCTGCCTTAGAGCTTCTCCTGAAATTACGCCCTAAGCATTCTCTAGAAGTCAGGACCTTTCTTGTTTGGAATGATCAGAGAAATCAAAAAACTTTATGCTAATTATTTAAGATCGCCTGGTCTAAAATGCTAATCAATGCTAGTAGCGAGTGGGTATGTATAAAAAGACTTCGATAAAAAATGACGTACTTGCATAATCCTAGAATCGTCTGAGCATCCATATCGATATTATATTCGATTTTGGCTTTCTTCTCAACAGATGATTCGAAATCCCAAGGTGGTTCATTTTTTACAGTCAATATACTCTCCTGAGTTGGAGATTTTACTTTCCTTCTTGTTTCGGGCGGCATTTCAGTTTTAGAATCGATATTTAAAGGCGAAAATGATCCTGAGGAAATTGTATTCTGTGAAGAATTATTGCCTGAAACAGAAATGGAAAAGCTACAGAAAAGGAGTCAAAAGCAGATTGACGCGGTAAAAGTATATTTTATTTACCAAACATAATGATATAATATATAAAAGCGTGTACAGATCAAGAATGGTAAACAAACAGAAGCCCATAAAAGTATAATCTGCTATGAATTAAATATACATAGATATAGATAAGGCATTTTTTTTAAATTTCCAGTCCGTCACTAATTTTATTAAAATAACAGTCACTTAGGTATTCCATTACAAAATAGTTCAATTCAATTTCAATTCAATGGACTTTATTGTAACACATACATAATTATGTATCCTTACAAATGGAGAAGTCTGGCCACTGGCCATTTATAATTAACCACACCCTTGAAAACAATTCGACAAAAATCGGTTTGCACTATTGGTTATAATCAGTAATTTGACAAAATATGATAAAAACAAGCATATAAATTCGGTAAAATCGTCCACAATCGGTTAGTGTAAAGATTTATGATAAATTCGATACCCATGAAAAGAGACAAAGAAAGAAATAAATAAAAACCAAAGTAAGTATACAGACCTCACAGCAACAGTTTCAATGAACTTATGAGACTTATACAATCATCACAGAGATTATTAATATTTTGCCTAGGAGTATTTGTGATCCACAGCTCAGGTTCTTTCTTGATCAGAAATTTTGGACATAAATACTTGTGACTCCTCATCCGTTTTGTACATTTTTAGGAGTTTTAATTATATATTGTGTTGTATTATGATAATGCTTACTATAATCGCTGTTGCATTTATTTAAATGCTGAAGTATTTCCATCTAGCTTTGCTATACTAAACATTTCTTTTAATACGCCCTAGAGTTGCCAGAAAGGCGCAAACGTCAAAAGAAAAAACCGGTTTCGAAATTTTGAAAGCTTCCAAAGCTTTTTATTTTCCATGCCAAAACTGGCGAGGAAGTATTGTAATCGCGAACATTTTCAAAAATGAGATAATGTTTTTTGGATGTTATATGACACCTATATATAAAAAAACTATGTCACTCATTTCTGTCGATCTGACCACTAATCTTATAACTGCCCATAACTAGAGAAGCCCTTCGGTTTTTGATGAACTTTTCGCACAAGGTTATTACTATTCCAAGGATGGAAAAGCTTTGTAGTTTTTGGAAATCGGTCTAGTGGTGGTGAAGCTAGGGACATAAACACGAAAAAATAAAAATCGCTTTTTTAACGATCATTTTCGGAAAAGTTTTTGTAGGCGTTGATACTTGGGGGTGGTAGGTGGAAGCGGGTTGTAAATGTGACGTCTTTAGTATTAGTCAAAGACGTTCTATTATTAAGAAGCTTCTGAGCTCGGCAACGACGGGAAAATTGAATGATAAATGTCCGAATGTATAATGTGTATAATTCGAAATAACTTGGCAACCATTGACGTTGAACGGCGCGCTGCTGCATCGTCGTGGAGACCACTGCCGACTGTGCAATGGGTAACAAGCTCCAACTGGTGTGCGGCAGTGTCGTCACTAACACACCGCTACATGCGAAATATTCATATATTTTAAGCAATATTTGGATATAAGGTCTACACGTACGTACCACATTAGCGTTTTGCGATGTTTTTGTAAACGATGACTGAACTATTTTTATATTTTTATTTGTATTTAATGACCTTTTTAAGTCTAAAACGATGGAGAAATTGTTGGTTTCGCAGACGATACGGGAATTATTTACTCAGATAAAGATTAGGCTTCTTTAAAAAACAAAAGTGTATTAGATTTTCAAAACGATACAAATTTTTTCACGGAAAGGAATATTTACAATAAACGGAAAAATATTTTACATTTGTTTGATATACTTAAGTAGAAGAAATTAAGGAAACCAGACGAAAACAGCAGTAACATTTATTTAAGATGATGCTATTTTGATATTAAATAATTTGCCCAACATTTCATTTTGAGACCACATGAACATTTACTGAAAGTTTTAAGAAACGTTATTATTCCTTTTCACATAAATCATCATGGGGGGGGGGGTCCTTGCAATATGGTGACACAAATTTGAACATTAGTGCCAGTAGTCTAGCGTCCTGAGGCGTACGTACCCTTAATCACGGCGTTCTATTGCATTGTTTTGGTCAGCGGTACAAATCTTATTCTTCTTATTTCAGAATCAACTCGTATGAATATTTATTAGTTTATAGCATTTGGTGTTTAAATTTTTTCAAGAAATTGCAGTCCTAGGCGGTATTGCCTCTTACCATGCTAGCGGCAACAGATATGCGTTCAATCGTGAACACTATAATATTACGATATGATCTTGAATAGTTTGTATGAATCAATAATAAAAAAGGAGCATGTTTGTTCAAAACTGATGTTCATTTATTTATGAAAAAACAATAAAATATATGTTCAAAACTTGTTACACACACTAGATCGAGAGACTGGTAATTTGAGTAAAATTCGTATCTATAAAATGCTTTATTTTCTTCCTAAAATGTCTTATATATAACATCTATGGCAAAACATAAGTCTACTACGACGAGAACAGTGCCTGAATAATTAAAAAGTATAAAATTATTTCATCTCACTTATCAGGTTACGATATAATCAGGTAACATAATGAGTATAGATTGGAAACGGGTAAAGTGAACGATCAGTGATCTATATTTACAGATCTATTGTAAGCCTAAATACAAAATCGTTAAAACGTAATTTTAAACTTTGTATTCATAATTATGATTTTATATTAACTGACAATCAAATTGGTGCAAAAGTGACAAAATTATTAACTATGACCCTATGATAGCAAAATCCAAATATTATCCAAAAGTCCTGACAAATGGCGCTACCTATTGTATTTGTTATTCTAACAAGGTTTAGTCTTTGGATAATGGGCGGCACCACTGATGCGCCATTCGGATTTATTAAACAAAAACCAGTTTTAATCCTTGGATGATGGATGGCACGACACGTTCCGTTTCCGTCCATTCGGATTTGTGGAACAAATTATACCAATTGCTATAAACTAATAAATATTCATACGAGTTGATTTCGAAATAGATCAGAATGAAACAATTCAAAAGAGAAACAAAAAAAAAACAAAAAAAGTAGAAATCGTCGGGTATGGATGGGATTTGAGCCGCTCAGGTTCTTTCTTGATCAGAAATTTTGGACATAAATACTTGTGACTCCTCATCCGTTTTGTACATTTTTAGGAGTTTTAATTATATATTGTGTTGTATTATGATAATGCTTACTATAATCGCTGTTGCATTTATTTAAATGCTGAAGTATTTCCATCTAGCTTTGCTATACTAAACATTTCTTTTAATACGCCCTAGAGTTGCCAGAAAGGCGCAAACGTCAAAAGAAAAAACCGGTTTCGAAATTTTGAAAGCTTCCAAAGCTTTTTATTTTCCATGCCAAAACTGGCGAGGAAGTATTGTAATCGCGAACATTTTCAAAAATGAGATAATGTTTTTTGGATGTTATATGACACCTATATATAAAAAAACTATGTCACTCATTTCTGTCGATCTGACCACTAATCTTATAACTGCCCATAACTAGAGAAGCCCTTCGGTTTTTGATGAACTTTTCGCACAAGGTTATTACTATTCCAAGGATGGAAAAGCTTTGTAGTTTTTGGAAATCGGTCTAGTGGTGGTGAAGCTAGGGACATAAACACGAAAAAATAAAAATCGCTTTTTTAACGATCATTTTCGGAAAAGTTTTTGTAGGCGTTGATACTTGGGGGTGGTAGGTGGAAGCGGGTTGTAAATGTGACGTCTTTAGTATTAGTCAAAGACGTTCTATTATTAAGAAGCTTCTGAGCTCGGCAACGACGGGAAAATTGAATGATAAATGTCCGAATGTATAATGTGTATAATTCGAAATAACTTGGCAACCATTGACGTTGAACGGCGCGCTGCTGCATCGTCGTGGAGACCACTGCCGACTGTGCAATGGGTAACAAGCTCCAACTGGTGTGCGGCAGTGTCGTCACTAACACACCGCTACATGCGAAATATTCATATATTTTAAGCAATATTTGGATATAAGGTCTACACGTACGTACCACATTAGCGTTTTGCGATGTTTTTGTAAACGATGACTGAACTATTTTTATATTTTTATTTGTATTTAATGACCTTTTTAAGTCTAAAACGATGGAGAAATTGTTGGTTTCGCAGACGATACGGGAATTATTTACTCAGATAAAGATTAGGCTTCTTTAAAAAACAAAAGTGTATTAGATTTTCAAAACGATACAAATTTTTTCACGGAAAGGAGTTTAACAGTCAATTTCAATAAAACGTATTTTACTACCGTATATCTGTATGACGTAATTGGCTATAAATTGTTGCATATTTGGTGTCAGTGAAAGACCTCCGATTATTAAGAAGCTCCTGATCTCAGTGATACTATACACCTGTTAGACATAATAAGTCACACATATTTTCCCAGCATCTGCCATGGAAACTGAAATATGATAGGTTTGCTTTATATACATATACTAAGTGACATATAAATCCGAACACCCAGTTTAAATGGTTTTATTTTAATAAAACTTTGTATAAGTCTTTAATGAAGCATAATAACTAAATGATAAAAATTTCAAAATGATTGCACTGCTTTAAAGCCCTTTGACCTTTAATAATGTGTGGATGCACCCTGATGTGCTACGCATTCTCCTACGCGCCTAGGCATGCTTCTGATCAGGTGGTCAATGTCCTCCTGTGGTATCTCATTCCAGGCAACCACCAACTCCTCTCGAAGTGCTTCTAGAGTCTGAGGAGGACGTTGCAAATTGAGCAATCTCCTACCCATCATATACCACACGTGCTCAATTGGGGATAAGTCGGGAGATCTTGGTGGCGATGGTAACAATATGACATAATTATGTTGAAAGAAGTCTATTGTGACTCTTGCAACATGTGGTCGGGCATTATCTTGTTGGAAAGTTGGATCTGCCAGGGTGTCAAGATAGGGTAAAAGATGGGGTTCTAGAACTTCGTGGATATAACGCTGCGCGTTCATGTTACCTCTGATGAAGATTAAAGGTGACCTGGAACCATAAGCTATAGCACTCCAAACCATAACTCCAACAGTGTGATGAACATGTCTTTCAACAAAAAACTGTGGATTCCTCCTTTCACCACGTCGCCTTCTAACCCTGGCACGACCATCGTGCATGCCTAAACAAAATCGAGACTCGTCACTAAAGACAATACTGTTCCATTCCTGATCCCAGAGTGACCGTTGTCTGCACCACTCAAGGCGATTACGTCGGTGTTCTCGAGTTAAAGGGAGGACGCAGTGTGGCCGGTATGAAAACAAGCCAAAACTTCTCATTCGTCGGTAAACACTTCGCATGCCAATAGGTCTTCCGTGTTCTGCAAACCATTCATTTGTAATGGAACTGGTAGTGGAGAAACGGTCCCTTAAGGCCAATAATCTTAGGCGGCGATCTTCACGGTCTGTTGTTCTACGGCGGCGTCCAGTGCCCCTTGCTCTTTGCGTACGGCCTTCTCGAAGCCATGGCTGACAACACCTAACCACAGTGTCTACACTTCTTTGCACTCTAACTGCAATTGCCCGAAAAGAAAGTCCAGCTTCCCGAAGTCCCACTATACGGCCCCTATCAAACTCACTAGTTGACGAAATCGTACAGGTCTCCGTACTCTAGGCATCGTAACCGATCGTAAAGGATGTCAAGAACCAAAATCCGCCAACGTTGATTCTTTACTGCGGCGGAAATATTCATTTTAGAGCGTTAGTGAATTAAAAAAAAGCAGTATAAAAACCGGAATGTCCAACTGATAAGACTGAAAATTTTTTCACTTGTTATTTACAATAAGATAAATACATTCACCAACTTTTATTAAAATAAAACCATTTAAACTGGGTGTTCCGATTTATATGTCACTTAGTATAGTTTGATTTGCAGAGGTTGGAGATTCATCTTGCCTAAGTGATTCTACCTAATCACAACTCGATTTCGCTTTTTGAAAGAAGTTGGCACATACCTTTTCTTTGAAACCTCCAACGAGGGCGTAGGAAGTACAGAGGCAATCTACTTGACCCGACTTTTTATCCTTAGATTGTGACAAAGTTTTAAGAAAACCCGAGCAGTGTGACATAGTTTTTCGTGAAGTACATGTAATGAAACATCAAGAAAAAATCTCAATTTCGATTTTTTTTTCGAGATTACAAAATCGTTAATTAACATGGGGAGTGAAAGAGTGCATTTAGGAATACTTAATATTTTGGTTATTTTCACAGATGTTTTATGCTGTCTCTAATCATCAGACAGGTAAAATGCTCGCTCACTGTACTGTACCAACCAACTTAGTGCCATGAAATTTAGCCTAATTTGCTGCTCCTTTTGCACAATGCACAATGTTATATGAATGGTTTACTTATAACTAGTCGATGGATCCTTATAGCAAGTGAGCAAACTGTTATGGAAAGTAAATCTGATCCCAAAAATTGAATAGTTCACTGAACTCGAGCAAACTAAGTTCAGCTGTACCAGTATGATTTACAAGAAACATAGCTTCATTTAATGGACATACTATATATTGTTTAATATTCTTAACGACAAAGTGTTTGGTTTAGACTGTTCAGTTGACCAGTTTTTCTCAGTGTGATATAACCGACAGGCAGACTTTAAAGGCCTTGATATCCTACTAACAAACAACAAATACACCAACAAACTACTCAAAACGTAGGTGGGACTTCTAAACCTCTACTCAAAAAAAACTTATACTTACCATTGGAATTAGAACAATCGGTTTCTTCCTTAACATCAGCCCCTTCAGAGCCAAAATGCTTCAGCAAATCTTCGGCCAAAGTGGCTGCCAGATCCTTTTGAGACAGCAAATCTTTGAGGTCCTCTTCCAAATTATCAGCTGTGATATCGGCAGAATGCTGACCAGGAGACAAAAAATCTCTGGGGTTCACGACAGGACTAGGCTGTACGAGTTTATCCCCAGTCCCTGTTGGGGTATTTAAGGGCGATCCATTTTGACTGAAGTTTGTGTAAGCTGGAGGAGTAGTTCCAGACCTCGTACCGGGTGCTGCCTGGGGTTGAGGTCTCTGCGACCTCGCTTGCTGCTGCATCAAGCGGTACTGATTCTGCAGATGCTGCATCAGATTCTGTTGCGAAGGCGTCAGGTTATTGACATTCTGTTGGAAGTATTGCAACAACTGGAGTTGCTGGGGAGCCATCGTAAATGAAGGTTGAGTTGGCAGCTTGTCAGGCTCTGTCTTGAACCGTTTGGTGGTACTGCCACCATTTGGAGATGGGTATGGTGGTGGAGGACCTTGAGGGGTAGATGCGGGGTAGGTTTTCTGGAATGTCTGCGAACTGCCGTTGCGATTTTGCTGTTGCCTGGATGACATCTCAGCTGATATGGGCAAGTTCCAAGCTTCTTCTATGGAGAGTAACTGTCTTCTCCTGGGGAAAAAATGCGGGCAAAATGATTACCTCGGTGGGTACCTTCTAAAGGGTGTATCAATCAGAACAAGGAGTCATATACACTCAGGTTCAAAATAAAGGCAACATTTTGGTCAAATTTGGAACTTTTGTTTTTTTCAGCAGGCGGTAGGTACACTCATTGGCATTAATGTGTAGATATGAGTTCTTGATTGTAGCCACGGTTTGACTACAGGATAAATCAAAATTATGTTTCATTAGTCCAACTTTGAGTCACTCTCTGGTGTGAATCCAGTTGCCAAATAGACTGCAATACTTTCCATTTAGAAGAACCACATAATCTGGTTTGTCATTCACGTCAATATATACAGCGGTTGGAGTGTTAGGGGCAAATCAAGATTTTACCAATTTTGTTTCTTCCTATCATAACTTTTACAATTCCCATGCGAATTCAAAAGTTTTTCATTAGTCTGCCCAGAAATCTATTGCCTTTCTTGCGAGGCTTACATTTTTTCATATCGCCATGCTTTCGTTTATCTACAGTGGCGAAGAAAATAAAAACTTCTGACTTGATTCAAGAACAAACTGTTTAATAATTTCACAAATGCAGTTCCAGAGCTGTATCTCCCTCATCCTCTAATTTTGAGTTGATGAAGCGGGCAGAATGCATGTAACACAAATTTTGTAATGACTCAATAAATGTATGGAGGGCATTACTGTCGACATTTTTTTTATATAAACACCTATTTCAAAAGTCTGCGAGACAAAAAGATAAAGGCTTCTTAAAAACATCTTTTTAAAGAACTGACCTAAGAACTAATGATGCCTTATAATGAACTATGTAACTTGTAAAAAAGTTAAAAATCACCAGTGAAATGGGACAATACCTATCTTCATGGATGCATTTCTAACTCTAAAAATTAATCAATCAGCAATTCGATTATCAAATCTCCAGTGCCTTTAGTTTTGTTATCGCAATTAAGTAAAGTGCCTGTATCTTTTTCAATCGCAGCATTGATTAACGTATTCCACATAGTTGCAGACTTTAGTAATAGGTGTATATGAAGAAAATGTCGACCGTATTGCCCTCTACAATATACCATGAGTCTCACTTCAGATGCGTGCTCTGAAAATTGGTTAAATATTGATTTTTCCATATAACTTAACAATATAATTCAAAGTTAGGCCATATTTTACACAACTGTGACCAATAAAAGTTGTTTGTAATAGGTTCCCCTGTTACAGGAAACAGATTTAAAAAAAAGTCTTAGTAAAAGCGTGCTTTTTTCGTACAAAAATTAGTGTTGTTCATTTTCAAATTGCTATTGAGCTACACATACAGGGTGTTCATTTGGAAACCTCCCACCACGGATTTATCAAAAACCACTGATTAAAAGAAAAAAAAAACGCCGAGACACGTTAAAAGATTTATCAAGGGTGACAACTTTTTAACCAAAAATTACTTAACCCCCTTTCACCCTCAGCCTCTAGTCTCTTAAAAATTTTAAACGACAATATATAATAGCTTGTTTGAAAGGTCTTTCGGAGAGTCCTTTATTTTGACGTTTTGACTTTTCATTTCAATAAGTGTTCGTAATGTTGCCCGTTAGGGTTTGCCAAATCTACAATTCGTTTATTATATAATATAAAACGGAAACTAGCAACATAAACAGCAATTCGGAAGATTAGATTTCATTAACACAGCTATACTGTTACCTGTTTACCTCTTTGTTACTAAGGGAAAGAGAGAATTTAATTTGCTGTCAGTTACCTTTGTGACAATCTTGGGATAGCGAAAATTAATTTATTGATTCAGATTTTGCTTCCATTTATGGTGCCCAAAAACAATGTACTCGGCAAACTGCCGTCACGTTTAACGCCAGACATCCGGGAATGACAACTTCGCATAGGTACGTTTTGGACCTTCTTACTAAATTTACTCAAACTGGATCTGTTGCAAAAAAAAACGTGACCATCGGAGAGTTTCGGGTCATTTTGAAATATATATATATATATATATATATATATATATATATATATTAATACTTCATTACGCAAAATTATTGCTGCGACTGGTATTTTATTAGGTTCTGTACACACAGTTACTAAACTCCATAAATTTCTTCCATTCAAAATGAAAAGAGTTAACCGAAGATGATGTCGATAGGCGAGTTGAGTTTTGTGAACAAATGACTGCAGCGATTAATGATAATACCACTCATCTAAATAATATCTGCTTCAGTGATTAATGCACATTTTCTAAATGGATTTGTTGATAAGCATAACTGCAGGTATTGGAACAATGAAAATCCTCATGCTTTTGTAGAAGGTCATACCAAGTACCCTTAAAATTAATGTATGGGTAGGCATTTTAGGAAACAACGTGATTGGGCCACTGTTTATTAAAATTTGTATGGAGACATTTATTTGGATATGTTGGAAAATACCATCAATCCGCTTATCACTGAAACCAAATCGAAGAGGATGGAAACCCTATACTTGACGAGGCTGAAACATATGTCCATCAAGACGGTGCTCTTCCTCGCTATGTTCTTCCGGTTCGGCAGTGGCTAGACGACGAGTTTCCAGATAAATGGATATGGCCAAGACAGCGTATAGAGTATAGAGCCTGCTAGATCTCCTGATTTGACGCTATTAGACTTTTTTCTATGGGGCCATTTGAAATCTATTGTGTTTACTCCCCAGACTGAAAGATTGGATACTTCGTCAACGCATCATCGAAAGCAACTGCCATGATATCCCACAACATGTTTTTGAAAATGTCCGTTAGGAATTTGGAAATCGTCTATATCATTGTTTGGCCAATAACGGGCAACATTTTCAACACTTATTGAAATAAGAAGTGATATTTTCGTGCGTTTTTGTTCTCTATCTGAACAAATTAAGATAAATGAAGAATCTTCTAATTTTCTTGAAAACGAGTCGACCGATTTAAAAAAAAACATTCGTCAAAATAAAGGACTTCGAAAGACCTTTCAAACAAGCTAATACTCGATACCCATTGTCATTTAAAATTTTTAAGGGGATGACCCTGGGGGGCAAAGGGTGAAAGGGGGTGAAGTAGTTTTTGGTTAAGAAGTTGTCCCCATTGACAAATCTTTTGAAGTGTCTCGGCGTTTTTTCTTTTAATCAGTGATTTTCGATAAATCTGTGTTTGGAAGTTTTCAAATGAACACCCCCCCCCCCACTGTAACTCGTGAAAAAGTTAAAATTTACCAGTGCACTGAGGTAATGCCTATATCAATGGATGCATTTTTAACTGTAAAAATTAATCAGTCAGCAAGATCATGAATATTTTTCATTATTTAATTGTTATAAGTAATTTTGTAATGACTCACTAAATATATAGAGTGCAGAGATATTTTCTTTATAAACACCTATTTCAAAAGTCTCTGAGACGAAAAGATAAAGGCTCCTTAAAAAATTGTTTGTAAAAGAACTAACCTAAGAACTAACGATGCCTTAAATTGAAATATGTAACTCATAAAAAAAGTTAAAAATCACCAGTGAACTGGGATAATACCTATATTCATGGATGCATTTTTAACTCTAAAAATTAATCAATCAGCAACATCATGGATATTTTTTATTATTTATGTAGAACAATAAATTTCACTGGTGAAAGCAGGCAAGCTGTGAGAACTGTTGGGGAATTGCATGAAATATGTAAACAGTATGGTAGTCCAAAGTCGATAATACAGGACCGGATTAAAGGAAAACAATGAGTTTTTTGTTCATTTTTACCTAGTTTGTATGTATTTTTGATAAATATATATATATATATATATATATATATATATTAAATGGACTCAGTATGAGTGTGTTTAATTTCATTTCCTCAAAGCTCTTAATGACAGCTGATTTGAAATTTATATTCTACTATCACAAATTATTGAATACGGTTCTGTCTAAAACTGGCCGGCAATTGGAAACTAGCCGGCCGACTACTAGCACCCTTTGTCCGAGGACTGACAAAATAGCACCTTTTTGATTATATTGTCTTATAAAATTACAGGAATATGTATAAGCAATGTATTTGTTGGCGAAACATATAGTCAAAATCACGAAAGATGACTATTACGTCATACCATAAATTGTACTGAAGTAATCAATGCACGTACGTCGATAATAAAATTACGATGTCAGAAACATAATGACAACAAATTTATACAGGGTGGCGCAGAGGAAACGCATGTTTTCTGAGTGAATAGTATTTGGAAAAGAAAAGTGGGTTGACCTTGTCTCACCGCCAGCAGAGAACACAGGCAATGCAGTTTTAGCTGTGGCACCGTGGACAACTGAGCATCGTGTGTTTGCCGTCGAGCAATTTTTGAACATGTGAGTTCCCGTTTCGGCGATATTCCTTGGCCTCCACGCTCCCCAGATTTACCTGCATGTGAGTTCTTTTTGTGGGGTTACCTTAAGGCTAAAGTGTACCCTCACAAACCCCGTACGTTACAGAAACTGAAAATTGCTATTCGTCAAGAACTCGCAAGAATACCACAAGAAATGATCCTACGTGTAATGCACAACTTTCAAGAGCGGTTGGAGATGTGCTAGCGCGAAGAAGGGCGACACTTGAGTGACATAATTTACCATAATTAATTTAAAAGTGCACTATTATTACTTTATGTACCTGTAGTTAAAATAAAATTATCTTAAACATAAAAAATGTTATGCTTACGTGAAAATCATGCGTTTCCTCTGCGCCACCCTGTATTATGATTTTGCGAAGTGAGGTTATTTCACTGATTATTTTTATTTTCACTTTATTTCATGGTTTTGAGTGATGCCTTAATAATAATTTTAGTGGGGAGTTTTTGTTTTGAAAAAAACAGTTATGAGTAGAATACCTTAAGACAAGGAACACCAAAGACCAAAGTATTATTAGAAAACAACCTATCCTGCTTTCACATAACCTAACTATTCGTCTTTCAAATATGATCGATCATGCAACATGAAAACATCGTCTATCTTTGTTGGATACATGCAAATTAGCAATACAGGTTGTTTAGACAATAAAATTCAGTTTGTCTCTGTCTAACAGATCTGAAACTTCATTAAAAATATTCACAAATCGCTGTCGTTTGTTTTTACTACAGACTAAAATAATGACGTAATCGTCATCTTTCGTGATTTCGACTAAATGTATATGATCACCTCCAAAAGCATTAGTTGTGTTATCTTGAACACACAATTCGTATTACACTATGTATTTCACCTTTATCTAAACCTAAACATTCTAAACTGTCCGACCACTGGCACATTCACCCTATGATCAATGTTTAAAAAAACTCCATTCAAAATCATAATCATAACTATCTAAAGTTTAAATGTTACTTTGCAAGACGCCGAAGAGTATTTTGGGATTACTTTATTTTGAAGTGATTTTTAACCTTGTCTGTTATACTAAAATTGGCCGCACCTGTACATGATTTTCATACAAGGTCAAATAGGTCACTTCTTAAAAATAGTTTTAGATAAAATTTCCTACTTTTGATAATACATTACAATGTATTGAAACAGGTCAAATTTCTTTTTCTTCCCATTAGGAGAATTTATGTTCATTTCACATGTAGTTATGATAGAAAAATGTTTCATAGCAAAATAGACCTATTAACTAGAGACCAAATCAATTTTTACCTGCTAAATTCTCCAACACACAAGAATACTTGGATATTGAGAGATATTTTTCTTAAATATGATCCACAACTCAAAAAAAGACTACAAGAAAAACACCTTACACCAGGTATCAACCCTTTCATAGAAACATATGTGCACCACTGATTTCTTCAAGGCCAGACATCCTACGAGTCGGGAAGATATTCAGCGACGTTGCCTTTTCGACTTTTTCAATATGAATGTTAACATGGGCCTCACCGGAAAATGGTAACATTGCAAACGCATTTTTATCATCCAGTTTAATAGAGTGGGCAGAGACAGAAGGTTTGTTCCAGCCCGGCCAGGAAACATGTTCCGAACTGAACGCGCATGCGCAATTCGTTCAAGCAGTATATTTTATTCATGTGTATGCATCCTTGGTTTCTTGAAATATGTTCTGAATAAAATTGGGAACATTTATGGTTCAGACAAGTGGCATGCGCATTACGGTTGCAGGGAACATTTTAAGCGTATTGCTTTGTTGTCTGCGTTTATGCCTATTTATTTGGCATCATTGTTTTGTGTTTTACATTTGAAACCAAAGATTTTGAATCATGAAGTGAATGATAATTGCATTTTCTTGCGCATTTGGATTGTAATGCTATTTTTTTCGATTTTACTAGGACGTACCATCAATATACTCCTAACACAACTTAGATAACAATCAGCTATGAAAATCGAGTGTAAATTCCCCCAGTACAACGATGAAAGAGCTTTTAGTGCTCAGCAGCAGCTGGTGTTGTCACGTCTTTTGCAATCGTAAAATGACAATATTTCGATATGACCTAGTGTAGTTTGTGTGAATCAATAATAAAAAGGAGTATGTTTCTCCAAAAAGAAGCGACGGATGACTATTTATTTATGAAAAAGCTTCAAAATAAATTTGTAAAGGTGAAAGTATTTACAAAAAATTAAAAAAACTTCTGCTATCTATTATACGCTGCTGCGATATAATCAGTCCATTGCATTTTTAATGTAAGTAGTGCTGAAAACTCTAGACAAATACAACCCTTACTCAATCACAGGAATCTCGGTATGTTTTTCGTGGAAAAGATTTAAATGAGAGATTTAAGAAACATTGTTCATCAGTAAAACTAATTCATATTGCACGAATATTTTTCTTATTTATTCTTCGCTTATCCTGGACAAATTCATTTAAAAAAAACTATGTGTTGCCATGTAATAATTATGAATCACCTTGTGGAGAGCGGCATAATTTCCAGATAAGGAGAGCATAAATGCCTCCAATTTTTATAAATAACTTTTCTAGGAATTTACAATATCGGAACTACCGACCGCTTACACATTAATAAATAATAGTTTAAAAAAACTAAAAAACACGCTTTTATAGCTAAACGAAATAAAAAGTAGAAAATAATTTTTAATTACAAAGAGTTTATATTACAGTAGTAGAAGGTCAATCATAACTAATGACCTCAAAATAAAATTATAATAAAATTTATGTTATTAACAGAATAATTCCATTCAGAGTAAAAAGCGTGGGGTGCTTGATATATTAATGTTAGAATCATTCTATTGGTAACTATCTATGAGAGGAGAGTTATGGGAATGTAGTAAAATGCACCCCACGCTTTTTACTCTGAACTGAATTATTCTGTTAATAACTTAAATTTTATTATAATTTTATTTTCAGGTCATTAATTATGATTGATTGTTCGACCATCTACTACTGTAATATAAACTCTTTGTAATTAAAAATTATGTTCTACTTTTTAGTTCGATTAGCTATAAAAGCGTGTTCTTTTAGTTTTTTAAACTATTATTTATTTTTTTAGTTATATTTATCAACTAGTTTTTTGTGGACACGTGGTATTGAAATGTCTTACGTATCATTTCATAATCTAATCATTTCATTTAAAGCTTCACTGTTGCATGGGGTTTTTCCTGCTGATCTAGAGCAATCAAGTTCTTCAATCCTAATACCGTCTAAATATCTTACACGACTAAGTGCTACATAAGCTTATCCAGCAGCTGGTTTATATTTGAAATCCTTGGCTTTTTATTAACATACCTGCTTTTTACAGAATTTTACTCACAAGGATAATGGAAAACTGTTATCAAATTATTGCATCATCGGTGTTTGATACGTGTGCGAAGTTTCAAATTAATAAAACTTCTGGAAATTGGTGAAAATTATGCTGAAAGATTTCCCATTACATACATACATACATACATACATACAGACCAAGCTATTAAAAGCGTGTTAAAAACGCCGTGTATCTAGAAGCATCCTAGCTGAGGAGTTGTCAGAAGTGTCAGGTTTGATTGCGGTGTTTTAACAGTGTTTACATTGAAACTGGATTAGACTGAGAATATCGCAGCAGCAAAGAATGCACGGAAAAAGAAAATATTTTTCTGTCTATTGTAAATACTGCCACCAATACGAATTTATTTTATGACTTCCTAACGGCGCTCTCACAGTCAAGCAGAGTTTCTGAGGGGTATCGGGGAGGTGATAGGGAAACGCTAGTAGGACGGCGTTGTGACAAGGCAAGCGCTCTACGTTAGAAAAGGATAGAAATACGCAGACGTGTGCTGTTCGCGTGCCTGGTTGAATTTGCATATTGCACAGAGTCGGATTTGATTTGGATATACGATCTAGCGTACGACTGTTTCCCTATTTTGGCGCATAGTATACCCAGGCCCTTATTACTCTTATTACCGTTATTGTATTGTTGTATTATCGTGTTGTTATTGTTGAGTGTCTTTCTTACCAAGGTATCAAAAATGAACAATAAGAGAAATAAACGTGGTAAATTAAATGTCCATGGTCGGCTAGAGAAATGACCCCTGAAGAGGGCATTCTGAACAAAAAAATTACGTCTTGGATAAACGATGAAATAAATAAAAAACATAAGTGGTATTACCAAATTCAAGGGCAGCTACACGTTGCACAAAGAGAGTACTGTATGCTTGGTGTTTGGACCACGTATGGTTTGAAAATAGACGTCATTCAAAGGGATGACGTTTTCTGGAAAAATGAAATGGAAGAGAAATTGAAATTCTTCTACATGAACTGCTTGCTCCCAGAACTGGTCGATCCCAGGAAAAGCTGAAATATGCCAATCCGCGATCCCGATGCGATCTTGAAGGAACAAGAGAACCGTTTGAACAAGAAAAAGAGTTCTTGAGAATTGGCTATTTTTGCTGTACTCGGATACCAAAATAGAAGAGATTAGCATATTACATTGTACGCCGTTACTAACCCCTTCGTGTCGGCAAATGCGGTGTGCAGATCTCGCATTAGCAGCGATGTGCGAGATGTTATGCTAATCTCTTCCATTTTGGTACTAGTACCAGACGTTCACTATTTATTGTATATTATGTATATATTGTTTATTTAAATAAAAGTCAATCGTCAGGCTCAATAGCACGTAGCATCGGCTACGAGCTAGCTTTATCTAGTCTGTTAGATGGCGAATATTGAAATGTCACATTGACACGTTAAGCGCCACAGTAGAATCTGAAAATCCAGTCCACTGGGCCAAACTGTTATTATTGTCAAATTAGCTTGTTTTAAGTTTCGGTTTAATATTTTGACTTGACTTTTTTCTCAAATCCTATGGTTTTTACCCTTTTTTTGATTTTATTTTTTTTCTGAGGTACTATTTGTATGTCGCGTGGCCCACAGACCAGTCGGGTCGTGTGGCACATAAGTCGCGTCGCGTTTTTTGCAAGTCAAGACTTGCATCATGTCGCGCGTTGAGCACTGTTTAGTGTAATTTATTATTGAAGCGTTGTTGGTATTGTACGTCATCTTGTCCAAATTGCTTTACTGTTTATAAACTATTGAATACCAAATTTAGTGATGTCGCATTACGAAGCGGAGCAAAAAAGGCTTGAACAATTGTGGAATGAAATACTATCGGATGAAGAGAGTGGTAGTATTGAGTTATGTGGGGATGTATACTTATCTGATGCGTATTCTCCAAGTGGTAGTGAATCAGATAGTAGTTGTAGTAATTCCATATTTATCTGTATCACTGTTTATTCATACCGTTATTTTGTTTATTCCTGCATAAGACTTTGTCAATCTGTTTAGTTTATAAGAGTTCCTCCATATTTGTGTTCGTTAGAATATTGACATTTACCATAACTTACTGATCTGCTGTGAAATTACTTTGTTCATTTTTGAATGAGAATGTCTGATTATTTTATAATATTTGCTTTTTGTTTTAGATTTGTAGAATATCCTCTTTTTGTAAAACTCTATAAACAACGTGTTTTTTAATGTTTTCATTTCCAATTGAGTATAATTTGGTCCCTCAGGCCACGGACTCTTGGTTCCCGTAAGAAAATCACATCAGCATGGCACACGTCTTACGTTACGCGGCCAAATATAACTGCCAGCAGTGAGACATATCATGTGTGTCACGAGGCCCAAAGCGCCAAATGAGGTGCGACACACGCATTATATCTCATGACGCTTATCGTGTTAAGTTTATTTTACGATACTTCATAAGGTTAAAGCTAAACAGCAAGTGACATTTTATTTGTGTTAAATGCGTTCAGTATAATTATTATTTTTAACTAAAAAGATTACCGCCTCCAATGACCCTGTACCCTCCTGGAAACTTTTGGTCACAAAGTTCTGTATTTTACCACACATGTCAAGTCTTTTCATTTGATATGTAAATTGGGGGTTTTGTACAAAAACATGTAACTCGCAATTTCGAAACGGCGGCAATCTTGGAATCAAATTTTCAGTGAAGTACTGTATTCTACAAGGCGACGACTCTTATTTGAGATATTAGCAAGTATGTTATCCGCCATTTAGTGACGGCCGCCATCTTGATCTGAAACTGTTTTCGTATTACTGCTTTGTACAAGTGCTTCCATTTGATATCCATATTGGGGCGATTGAACAAAAATGATTTTTTGTGGAATCACCTCTGAAGCATGGCCTATTGTATAAAAAGGAATGATGAAAATCGATTAAAAATTTCCCCTCTTTCATTGAAGTCTATGGTCCGATGTTTATCTCGAACGACCGACGTCAAAACTGCTACTGTTTAACTTGGGACAACAAATTATCTGAATACGTCCTTTCTTAGTCCGTACACACCGCCGCGTTGCTTCGACTGGCAGCACGAGATAGTGGATAAAATTCGTGTAAAAGCCTATTTGCAGAGGTTTTCGCGCTTCAAAATTGACGCTTCATTTTTGAATATTTTTCAATGAAATTTTCACAGTGCACTAAAAACAAGACTCCACAGGGTGCTATAGAGCCACTTTTTCGTTGTTTCCTCTGGG